TTGTCACTGAGCAGAAACGGGAGCTGGAAGCATGTAAATATAATAATAACCACTGCAGCCTGACGAGCCCAGCTGTAAGTAAGCTATTAAGACTCGACTGTACACCGTGTTCCTTGGTTTTATATATGCGCGGAATAGTTTTCTATATGAGATCGCTGCAAAAAGTGCAGCCTTACCTAATGTCCACCTACTGTTACTCATTTATATCAAGATTCTAGTTGGTGTTGGTATGAAAATGAATATTTAGTTTTCCTAAGTTTTCAATGTTTGACATTTTGCTTCCAAGAGAAATCTAACTGAATGCAAAATCTTGTTCCAGATGCTCCTGACCCACCAGTGGATGTGGAGACCCACAACCCCACATCCAGTACTGTTACTCTAACCTGGAAGCCTCCCATGTATGATGGTGGCTCCAAAATCATGGGCTACATCCTAGAGAAGCAGCAGAAAGGAGAGGACAAGTGGGAGAGGTGCAATGACTTCCTGGTGCCTGTACTATCCTACACCGTCAGAGGATTGATAGAAGGAAAGAACTTCACCTTTAGAGTCAGAGCTGAAAATGCTGCTGGGATCAGTGAGCCATCACGCAACACGCCATTTATCAAGGCCGCTGATACCATTGGTATGTATCAGCTGTGTGGTCTCGTTCTCTCTCGATCTATCTCTCACTTTCTCTATTTCTAGGTACGCATTTCGGTTTGTCTGATTTTATTTCTCTCTTAGATCCTCCAAAGGTTTTCCTGAGTGGCAGCTTACAGTCTGGTCTCGCCGTGAAGCGAGGCTATGAGATCTGCCTGGATGCCAACATTTCAGGATCTCCGTACCCTCAGATCACCTGGTACTGGAACAACCAATCAATTCAGCCTGAGCCACTCCGGAAGAGACCTGAAAAACCCCTGAAGAAGAAGGTGGAAAAGAAGGAAGAGGAAAAGAAGGAGGAAAAGGAGAAAGAAGAGGGGACAGCTGAGAAGAAAGAGGAGAAGGAGGGAGAGGTGAAAGAACCTGAGGAAAAAGAAGGCGAGGTGAAAAAAGAAGGCGAGGTGAAAAAGGAGGAGGAAGTTCCACAACCAGAGGTCGAGGAGCCAGACTACCCCACCATAAATGAACGCCTGGCCATCGACAATAGCCACAAGGGTGTATCCTCTATCGTTATCAGGGACTCGATTCGCCCTGATCATGGTGTCTACATGGTGAAGGTGGAGAACGACCATGGCATTGCCTCGGCAACCTGCGAGGTCAACATACTCGGTGCGAGTTCTTTTGTGTTTTCTATAACCAAAGCTTTATACTTTAAAGCTAATCATGTCTTAAAAAAAGATACAAAAAGTTCAAATCTGAACATTTATTCTGTCTACAGATACTCCCGGGCCTCCCGTAAACTTTAGATTCGAGGAGGTGAGGAAGAACTCTGTGATCTGCAAGTGGGATCCCCCTCTGGATGATGGTGGCAGCGAGATTCTCAACTACACCCTGGAACAGAAAGACAACTCCAAGCTGGAGATTGGTTGGAGCACCGTTACCGCAATATTGAAAGGATGTCGTTACTTGGTGCCCAAACTCATTGAAAAGAAGGAGTACATCTTTAGGGTCGTGGCTGAGAACAAGTATGGTGCAGGCCCACCCTGTGTCTCCAAACCGGTCATTGCCAAGAATCCTTTTGGTATGGGTGCATTTATTATTATTCTGGTCTATGCTGTAAGCTAGTTTTTGGTTTTGTTTTATTTGTTTGATGTTTTTTTCAGCTTGGTTTGTAAAGTTTTAAAGCACAAAAATGTTTGTAACTGATTAAAGGTCAGCTGAAATTAAATATATGTCATTATGTAGATTAATTAACAGATAACTGCGCTATTAATGAACTTAAAGGTATATGAACAATGGTAACATACCACTTATTTTTGTTCCGCTATTTCATCTCGGTATGTCCTTAGAACCTCCCGAAGCACCTGATAAACCACAAGTTGATGACATCACAGCCAATAGCATGCTGGTCACATGGAATGAACCAAATGATAATGGCAGCCCCATCTTGGGATACTGGGTGGAGCGCCGTGAGATCAACAGCTCACACTGGGCACGTGTAAATAGGTGAGAAAACCATACAATGTAACCATTTTCTTTCTTTCTTTTCCAATTTGCAACAAGACACATGAAAGTGCATATTGGCTTGTGTGAGGGTAATAACAAAGCCTTCATGGTACCTTTGGTCTTCAGGAACATCATCCCTGTCCCTGAGCTAAATGTTGAAGGTCTGATCGAGGGGCTGACTTACATCTTTAGAGTTGCTGCCGAAAACCAGGCCGGCCCTGGAAAGTTCAGTGTTCCCTCTGAACCCAAGACTGCCCAGCCAGCGATTTGTACGTAAACTGTTCTAAATCCTGTGTTCGACAGAACTGTGAGTTGTCACTAAATGTTTTATTCTTAGTTATATCCATCTATAACACTTATTTAATATTTGAAAAATGAGCAACTGGCAATTTTTAGAATTTAGAAGTATGAAGAAGAAAAAGTTATGGTAAAATTATTTGCTCCTTTTAAGATTTTCTTTTGGGTTTTTTTAATACTTGTCACATTTATATGTTTCAGATAAAATTTCAAACAAATTTTAATATTAGAAATTGATAACCTGAGTAAATAGAAAATATTTTTTAAAAGATTATTTCATTCACATTCACATTACAGGGCCTTGAAAGAGTCCTGTATTGTTATTTTTCATCACTACCTCCCTGAGTCGGGAGGGGATCATTTGTGCGTGTGCTGCCTTCCTTGGATGTGGTAGTCTTTGTCAGGTTCTCTCCGGAATCGAACCCTGATTCCCCATTACCTGTGGTCAAACATGGCAGGCAGATAAAGTGCCATCGAAAGTTAATATGGCAAGCATTCGAATGAGACATCGCCGCCGTGGAGGGAAAGGGTTACAGTTTAACATTTTGAAGAGTCCTGTTGCATCTGGCATAAAATGAGCAAATGAATGGAACCATGAATTCTCTTCTCTACTAGAAAATCCTGAAAGAGAATATTCAGCCATCACTTTGTGCCCTGAAGCTCAAGCGCACCCAGGTTATGGAGCAGTACGATGATACAAAACACACCAGCAAGTTCACGTTTGGATGGCCTAAAAAGCCCAACTGAAGGTTTAGGAGTAGCCAAGAGTAACTCCAGACTTAAAACATATAGAAATGGATTGACATGACTTCAAACAGGGCAATATGGCTGAATTCAAACATATCTGCAAAGAAGAGTTGACCAAAATTCTTCCACACCAATATAAAAGATTCATTGCCAGTTATTGCAAACACCTGATTGCAGTTCTTGCTGCGAGAGGTGGTAGAACCAGCTGTTAGGTTCACTTTTTCATATAGGGCCAGGTAGGTTTGGATTCTTGTACTAAATGAAATCATCATGAAAAAAACAGCATTTTCTATTTACTTATGTTGTCTTTGTTAAATACAATTTGTTTGATGATCTAAAACATTAGATTAGATGATTTCCAAGTGTTTTTTTGTTTTAGTATAATATTCGAACTGAATTACTTCCTACCTCATCTGGGTATAGTTATTCTCACTGAAATATAGTCAATCGTAGGGTGAGATTCATCTGTGTTTACTTTGACCCTACAGTGCCTCCAGGTCCTCCAGTTGCCCGAGTGGCAGCAACTACTGACCACTCCATCGAAGTTGAGTGGGACCCGCCTGCTGACAATGGAGGTGGGGAAATCCTGGGATATCATGTGGATAAGGTGAAAAAAGTTACTTCTCATAGGTTTTTAACTTTGTTTTTGAGATTCTGTCATGTTAGAAGTTGATTTCAGTCCTGATGGATGTTCTTGTTTGTTCTGTGGTGTTATTCAGGCTATGGCTGGTACCAAGGACTGGTCGAGATCTACGGAACGTCCGTGGAAGACTCGGAACTTCACTGTTTATGGAGTCAGAGAGGGAGCAAAGTACACGGTCAGAGTCATTGCCTGTAATGCTGCTGGAGAGGGAACACCAGGATTCACAGAGTCTGTATTCGTCAGAAATCCTGCAGGTTAGCTGAAAAACTAAGAAAAATGTTTTTAAAAATGTAGAAATTTGAACCAGTGTTCAATTAGATCAAATCTTGGTTAATTTCGTATTGATGTATATCTTCTTCTTCTTGTATTTTATTTGTTTGTTTTTCATTCTTTGCTTCTTTGCTGGTCATCACTAACAGAGATCCCAGTAATTGAATTGGATCTGTCTGTCAAGAATGGCGTCGTGATCAGAGCTGGAGAAAACCTCCTTATACCTGCTACAGTCACAGGTAAACCCTACCCAGCCATCACCTGGACCAAGGATGATGGCAAACCCGACAAAGACCGTACAGAGATCCTCACTGAGGACAACAACAGCATCTTTTCAGTCAAGAATGTCCAGAGGAAAGACTGCGGAAAATATCAAATCTCCGCTTGCAACCCCAGTGGCATCAAGTCTGCATGGACCAGAGTGGAGGTCATGGGTGAGTCCAGGACGCTAGAATTCAGTCTGAACTTGTAATTAGTTGAACAAATGATCAAACAGGATAATATTGTTTTATTTTCAGATGTCCCGGGACCTGTCACAGACCTGAAGCCTGTTGTTGTCACTCGTAAGATGATCTTTCTGAACTGGGATGACCCTGAAGACGATGGAGGCAGTGACTTGACCGGCTTCCTCGTGGAGCGAAGAGATCCCAAGATGCACACATGGAGGCAACCTGTTGAAACCGCCTCGTCCAAGTGTGAGTGTGTGGGCATTATGGAGGGACAAGAATACCTGTTCCGTGTCATCGCCAAGAACAAATACGGCCTGGGCCCACCTGTTGAGCTAGGACCCATCAAGGCTGTAGACCCACAGGGTGAGTGCTACGTTTATTTTCATTCTATGGATGTTGGGGATTTTGTGTTTAGAAGCAGTGTGAAATGTGGAAGTGTATTTGAAACAAGTTTCTTGTGTGGTTTTGCAGGCCCGCCATCATATCCTGAGAAGTTCCACTACACTGAACGCACAAAGAACTCCATCACGTTCGCCTGGAAACCACCACGTAATGATGGCGGCAGCCCTATCATTGGTTACTTTGTTGAGAAAAAGAGGCAGGACCAGCAGGCCTTTGAGCCCTGCAACACTGAGATCTGTCCCAACATGACTATGACTGTGGAGGGCCTGGATGATGCCTGGATGTACGAGTTCAGAATCAAGTGTGCCAACCTTATTGGAGAGAGTGAGCCATCCATCCCACTGACTGTGGTTATCCAAGATGATGAAGGTAAAGCCTGAAAACTTCTACTTGTTCAAGTAATGGATGGAAGAGTTTTCTCCAGAGAAATGTATATAAAATAAAGAAGTCAACCCTAGTGGATGCTAATAGCTTGGCTCATGGCTCATACATTCTGATTTGGTTGATTTCTGTCTTGCCTTTCTCAGTGTCTCCTGAGATTCACATGCTGAAGCAGTTCAAAGGGGACACCATTACTGTGAAGAAGGGTGAATCCATCGAGATCCCAGCTGATGTCCTGGGACTCCCCATCCCTAAGATTGAGTGGTCTAAGGATGACATAGTGATCGAGAAGCCTACTGAGACTCTACTGATGGAGACAAATGTGACTGGCAGAATGAATTGCAAGACCATGCTGTCCATCCCAGCAGCCAACAGGAGGGACCGTGGCAGTTACACTGTGGCTGCCTCCAACAACATGGGTTCAGCCACGCACACGGTCTATGTCATGGTGCTTGGTGAGTTGAAATCATGTCACCGTGGTGGTACTTTATAACATAAAATATGGTGTTATGTTATTAGTTATGCTAGTTCTGTTTGTATCAGAGTAACCAGCTGACAGTGTCCTGACTGAACTCATGCTCTTCTCTTCAGACCGACCAACTCCACCAAGGAATGTGACAGTAACCAATATCAGAGGTGAGTCCTGCTACCTCAACTGGGACGCACCACTTGATAATGGCGGAAGTGAACTAACCAACTACATCATTGAGAAGAAGGAAGTGGTAACAGAGGTGCCTGAGGTGGAAGAGGGACAGGAAGCTCCACCTGAACCGCAGTGGGAGGAGGTTACAAATAGTATAATTGAGAGAAAATATGGGGTATGTCTTTATAATAGTAGCACCAACTACAAGTTATATTAATAATAATAAATGTAGTCCAATTGGTTTCCAATGGTAACATCACCTACATCTTCTGAAGGTCTGGAACCTGGAAGACAAAAAGACCTACCTTTTCCGGGTACGGGCTGAGAACCGCTACGGTAAATCTGATCCCTGCACAACTGAGGAAGTTCAAATTATAGACCCCTTCGGCCTTCCTGGCCCTCCAGAGAAACCAACAATTGCAGAGTACTGCAAGACCTCCATGACTCTAACCTGGGAACCTCCCAGAGATAATGGAGGCTCCACGATTATTGGTTACTGGCTGGAAAAAAGAGAGAAAGGTACTGCTTACTGGGCTAAAGTCAATAAGATGCCCATCACAAAGAGGGGCATGAAAGGCTGGGAGTACCAGGTGAGCTGTGTAGCTTTCTAGTAATTTTAGCATTTATTTTAAGGAAAGCACTGCCTCGGTGTGTACAACTCCTTGTTTAGAAATTGAATACTGTTGCATTATGTGTCTCTCAGGTGACACGTCTGTTTGAAGGAACAGAGTACGAGTTTAGGGTCGCAGCCTGTAATTCAGCAGGAACCGGACCTTTCAGTGGACCATCTGACTCTGCCTTTGCTGTTGACCCTCTCAGTAAGTAAAGGACAATGCATTTCTTTTTAAAACCCACCAGCTTACTTAAAGTCTGGTGTTGGCCACCAGATTCGGGGGGATGATGAATGATAGAATTTGGATACTTTTTTCACATTCTGTTGCTTTTCCCTGCAGCTCCTCCAAGCATGCCTGCTGCTCCCGAGGTGGCCGATAAGACAAAACACAATGTCACACTCTCCTGGAAACCACCAGAGAGTGATGGTGGCAGTCCCATCAAGGGCTACATTATCCAGATACAGGATGAGGGGACATCAGAGTGGGTGAGAGTAAATGATCCTGAAACCCTGCACCCCACTACTGAGTTTACAGTGCCAAGCCTCCGCGAGCTGAAGCGCTACCGCTTCAGGATCATTGCTGTCAATGACATTGGAGAGTCTGATCCCAGCCCCCGCACTAGTGAAGTTCTTATTGAGGATGTCCAACGTATGTCTGAATTTAAAGTAATTTTCACTACAATAAGTAGATACTGTGTATTTCATCCACTGATGTGTTTATCAATTCCTACTCAACAGTTCCACCTTCAATCACACTTGATGTGATGGCAGATGACCTGGTTTCCATCCGTGCTGGAGATCCCATTAGAATCCCCACCACCATCAAAGGCCGGCCCACTCCTAAGGTAACCTGGGACTTTGACGGCAAAGCCAAGTCGCACAAGAAAAACAAACTCCACACACTGCCTGTGGACTCTGAGGTGAGACCTTAATACCACATTTTCAGGAAAAAAAAAATCACCTTTTTGAAGAGTTCGTGCCCTTCTTTCCCTTATTTTTCACTTGTCTGTTAAAATTTTATGAAACCATTGCATTATTATGTTTGTGTTTGTATTTCTTGCAAAATACATAAGACAATTCTTTAAATATTTTTTTGTTTTGCTTGTTCAGGTGGAGTCCACAGACACCACTTCTGTTGTGACTATACCTGTCAGTCTGAGGACTCACTCTGGACGTTACACCATCACAGCCAAGAACAAGTCTGGACAGAAACACCTCAACATCAGGGTCATTGTCCTCGGTATGTTTGTGACTTTTTTTTAAGAGAAGCATACTTATAGATGACTAGCAATGGCAGAGTGGCATCTTTTTCCTGTGTCCTAAATGTTTTACTGTGCTTGTGGCTGCAGATGTTCCCGGACCTCCAAAGGACTTAAAGATTACTGACATCACCCGATCAACCATGAGGCTGATCTGGAAGCTCCCCGATACAGATGGAGGAGAGCGAATCAAGAGTTACTTTATTGAGAAGAAATCTGTGACCGACAAGGCCTGGACCAAGGTAAACATCACCTTGTTGTCAGTTTTTCTATCCTATTTTGCTAAGTTTCAAAAGTAATGCATGGAAATAGTCCCTTTGATTAGATGTTGCAGGAATGGATAGAGACTCCCAGGCTAAATAGTAAGCTGCTTCTATGATTCTAATATGTCCATGACTCAGAAGCACTAGATGTAACAGCTAAGCTTAACTTTAAGATTCTGCTGTTTGTGATTGATTAGCTGAGTTTTTTGCTTTGTTATCAGGTTAATGTAGCCTGTGCTAGCCAGGCCTACGTGGTGCCAGGACTGCTAGAGGGTCAGGACTACCTGTTCAGAGTGCGAGCAGAGAACCGATTGGGATTCGGCCCGTTCACTGTCACCACTGAACCTGTCCGGGCCAGAGACCCCATCTGTGAGGACTTGTTTGGAATTTCAGCTCCAGATATGCAGCACATACTTCCAAAGTTTACATGAATTGCCCTAATATTAACCATCCTCTTTCTCAGACCCACCTGACCCCCCCACCAAGCTGAAGGTTAACCTGGTGACAAAGAACACTGTCACCTTGAGCTGGGAGGCTCCCAAAAATAATGGTGGCTCTCCTGTGAAGCATTACATCATTGAACGATTGAGCTGGGACACCACCGGCAAGGAGAAAGAGACCTGGAAACAGTGCAACAAGAGAGATGTGGAAGAGCTCACCTTCGTGGTGGAGGATCTCAAAGAGGTCAGGCTTTCCTCTTCAAAGTATTCCTCCATGTACTGCTTGTTTCCTGTATTAATTAGAATCACATTTATGAATACATGGCTGGAGAAAGGCATATTTTAAATGTCACTTTTTGTCCTAGTTTTAAGATTGATCATTTTCTTTCTGGAAGTTATTTAAGATGATTTCTAGAAAACTCAAACTGATAACTGATGAAAATGTAATGCAATAAAAGTTGATTCTGTTCATCGGGGTGTAGCGTTTTCAGTGGGAGAAACGTTTTGTCACTCATCCAACTGACGTCTTCAGTCTCAGCTGACTGCAGGTTTCCCACCTTATAAACAGGAAATTTGCCCAATAACTGAAACAAGCACCACCAGTGAAAAATGGTCAGTTTCAAGATCATTAATATGCAAATTCTCATGACCACTGATCAATGTCCATGAATCCCATTCACAGAGAGTTGGGGAATGGCTGCAATCACAGCATTGTAAGATGGTGACAGATGTACCCTTAGGCCCCCTCCGCGATTCAGAGATGGTCTTTCCCTTTTCACGTAAATGGCCTCCTTGACTCCGCCCTCAAACCAGCGTCCCTCCCTGTCCAGGATGTTACATCCTCATCCTTGAAAGAGAGTCCACTGGCCTGTAGGTGTAAATAAACTGCAGAGTCCTGGCCTGACGAGGTGGCTCTTTTGTGTTGTGCCATCCACTTAGCCCAGGGGTGGGCAATTCCAGGCCCCGAGGGCCGGTGTCCTGCAGGTTTTAGATCTCACCTTGGGTCAACACACCTGAATCACATGATTAGTTCGTTACCAGGCCTCTGGAGAACTTCAGGACATGTTGAGGAGCTAATTTAGCCATTTAAATCAGCTGTGTTGGTTCAAGGACACATCTAAAACCTCCAGGGACACCGGCCCTTGGGGCCTGGAATTGCCCGCCCCTGTCTTAGCCAGAGGTTGTTTGGTTTCCCTGATGTATAAATCCTGGCAATCCTCCTGGCACGTAACAGCATACACTATGTTACTCTGTTTGTGTCGGGGGATCCGATCCTTGGGTGGACCAATTTTTGGCAAAATTTTTCTCCCACTGAAAACGTTACCTCCAGATGAACAGAATCAGCTTTTTGGGATTTCCTTAGCTGGATGATCAAGGATGCATTAAGACATAATGCAATAAAGATTGCTTCTTTTACTTTAAAGTTTTTTAAGATGATTAATATTTAGTGCATAATCTTTAACCCACTCTATCTCTTTGCGATGTTACTGTCATATTAACTTGTATTTCTCCAACACAAAATTTGAGAATTAAGCCAAAATGTATCCTGCAGAGAGAGTTGCTTCTGAAGGACATTTATATTTTTTACTTAAAAAAAACTAACAACAAAAAATAACAGGAGAGGATAAAACCTGAGCTTTCAGCCCACTTTCCACAGTGATTTGGGAATTTCTACTGAAATTTTACCCAAACTTTGTGTTGACTGTCTTGTTAATCTACAGGGAGGAGAATATGAGTTCAGAGTAAAAGCTGTAAATGCTGCTGGACCCAGCCGACCCTCTGCCACCATTGGACCCATGGTCATCAAGGATCAGACATGTGAGCAACAGCCTCTTCAGCCAATGACAGGCTACTCATATTCCACTCTATTTGACCAGCACGTTTGTTTTTTAAGTCAAATATTCATAGGGGCTGTTTCACGAACATCTGTGGGTGCCTGAGAATGTTGCATTCAGTTAACTTTATGATGTGATTAACAAACTGTTTGTTTTGTCGATCATAACAAACGGATCATCTCTCTGCAGGTCCGCCCACTATTGAACTACGTGAGGCTATGGAGGGAGAGGAGGGCTGTGACATCAGCATTGTTGCAAAAGTTAGTGGCTGTCCGTTCCCCAGCCTCGTTTGGCACAAAGCCAGTGTGGACAAACCTGAGGAGAAGTCTGCCATTCAGTATGACCAACACATCAACAAACTAGTAACCCAGGATAAGTGCACCCTTCTAATACAGCAAGCCAGCAGGCATGACAGCTCACTCTACAGCCTGACCGCCACTAATAGTCTGGGCACTGTTTGCAAGGGCATCAAGCTCTCAGTGTTTGGTAAGAAATTCAACCTAAAGATGTTACATGTGTCTTTTCAACTCAACAAAGCTGAATCACAGCAAACCATATTTCTCATCAGATAATTTAATTTAAAGGCAACAGCAGTACAAGTTTCATTACCAGACGTGAGGCCTGGCAGAGCGCTGTGTCACCTTCAAATCAACAGTGCTATGCCCAACTCAAAGCCTTTGCAGTATCCAAAGTTGGTTCTTTGTCTAAAAAAGTTTGTAATGTTCAATTAAAAACAGCAATCTTCAGAGAGAATGAGAATGTCATTTTGTCGACTTGTATTTTGAAACAGAGACTCAGTTTATTCAAATTGTGTGATGTTCTCAAATCAAGGTTAAAAGTCTCGTAGCAGTTTAATTATCAGGTGATAGCAGGTTTGATCATTTGATCACTGGTTGAAGTGATTTCCAGGTCTCTTCAGATATACATATATGACTCAGCCTCCCTCCCTATGTAGGGCCTCCCGGTCCCCCAGTCGGACCAGTCAAGTTCACGGAGGTGTTTGCAGAAAGAATAGGCCTCGCCTGGAACCCTCCCATCGATGATGGTGGATCTAAGATCACCAACTACGTGGTTGAGAAGCGTGAGGAGAACAGGAAATCGTGGGTCCATGTCTCCAATGATCCCAAAGAGTGTACCTATGTGGTAACCCGGCTGACCGAGAACCATGAGTATGAGTTCAGAGTCATGGCTCAAAACAAGTTTGGAGTAGGCCCACCACTGGTCAGTGATCCAGAGAAGGCCAGAAATCTCTTCAGTGAGTTTAGACCATCACGTCTTCACCCTCATTACACAAATGAGGACAAATAACTTGTATTACACTTTGTTAATATTATCTATTACATGTTAAATTATTTCTTTACGGTCCACTTACTGCATAATTTACCGTCATCATTTTCTAATACTAAAAAAACTACTGTCAGTTCTATGGTTTTATATATCAGGATATATTAAAAAAAGAAATTGGCCTTTAACAGGCCAAACGTAGACAATATTACATATTACACTGTGTCACTAACACCCACACCTCTAGAGGATTCTGATCTGTCTGTCTGGTAATTCATAGACAAATGATGTATTGATTATGGGTGGATCGTGGATAACAGCCCTGTCCTCTTGCAGCTGTCCCCGGTCAGTGTGAGAAGCCCACTGTGACCGAAGTCTGTCTGGAGTCAATGACTGTCAACTGGGAAGAACCCAAGTACGATGGCGGGTCCCCCATCACTGGCTACATCATCGAGAAGAAGGAGACCACTGCCAAGCGCTGGATCCGTGTCAACCGTGAGCCCATTAGGGCACTGCCACTGGGCAACAACTGGGATGTCACTGGGCTACTGGAAGGGGCCCTATACCAGTTCAGGGTCATTGCTGTCAATGCTGCTGGCTGTGGACTGCCCAGTATACCTTCTGACCCCATACTCTGCAGAGACCCCATCAGTAAGACAGAAGTTATTATTGTGTTAAAGCATGTTAGCAGCAACATTGCAACAGAGATTAGATCCTGTTAAATGATTCTCGAGCAAAACTAAAATAAATGATCCCAAATGAAATGTCAAACTCCCGACAGCAAATTGTGTTGGTGCTGAAACATGTTTTACCATTGTGTATGCTTCTAATCACATTTGTGATTTAGCAGAAACTAGAGCTTTACAGTATTTCAATTTGTGCATGCAGAGCCTCCTGGACCGCCCACTCCAAAGGTAACAGACTGGACAAAGTCTACAGTTGAGCTCGAGTGGATACCGCCTCTGGTGGACGGAGGGTCAAAAGTCACAGGCTACATTGTGGAGTTCAAGGAGGTGAACAAGGAGGAAGAGGAGAAGAAAGCTCAGAGGAGGCTACTCCTGAGTGTAGCTGAAGAGGAGAAGGAAACAGAAACTGAAGAGGCCTGGGAGAAGGTAAAAAGAGAAACAGATTGTGACCAGGTGTTCGGCGGGGTTATAAAAGAAATCATAAAATGACAACGCCACCTAGGGCAATTTCACCCCCAGGAAATATACATTTAAGAAAAATAGATTAAAGGAATAAAGAGAGGCCGCACAGATTCGAGGATGCACACCGAGGCAGGTTGGCTCCAATATTAATACAGTTTTATTTACGGTTAAAATAAATAAAATATTACAAAGCAAAATGTAGCGTCGTTGTTGACAGTGTCCTCAAGTTAAAAATAAAACAATCATGGAACTTGGACTTACCAGCAGCCATGGACCCAAAAGAAAATCACACAAAAAGAAAATCACTACAGCCCACCCGGTGCTGTGCAAAAGAAAGTGTGAAAACGACCCCCCACCTGAGGTCCCAGGGCCACTGGCACGTCCTCCGTCCACTGAAATACAACACAGAGCAATACATTAAAAGAATAAAAGGACACTGAGCATCAGGCTCGCTACAGATCATAAAAACTAAAACCAACTGTGATTACTTTAATAAAAGACACACACACACACACCAAACTGGAAGGCTTGCGCCCCACGAGTCAAACTACAACTCGTGCTTGTGGTAATTGTCCAGGTTCGAAATAAAATGGGCAGCAAAACACAGCTGATTTCCCACTTACTACTACTTAGTTCCGAAAAGAAAACCTAATTTCTGCCGTTCAATAGGCTTCTGAACAAATTTAAACTTTTTAACATTCTGCAAAATTGCAAAACACTCAGCTGTGTCTCTAATAAAACCTCTGTAATTTGCTCTGCTTCAGTTCAGCAGCATCAGGTAATGTTCATTTATTGATTAATGGTTTTCTTTCGTTTTTGATCTACTGCAGAATAGTTTTGTAAAATCGTTTTTCTGTTTTAGCCTCAGCTATACGTTGACACAAAGGCATCTGCTGTGATGCTCACACCTTAGATAAAGTCTCGAAAGTGTCAGCTTCCTTTTTTTATGGTTATAAAAATATGTAAATGTACTGATCTATGATCTGAATTATACTATTGACTGAGTGTCTGAGGCTAACAGTTACACAGTCATACCAAGACTCTGTCCTGATAGTTTCCACTTTCTCTTTTGTATCAGAGATACTGAGACAATATTCAGGATAAATAACCATGAAAACAATTTATTCAGTTTAGAGGTTTACACATCACATCATTATAATCACAGAGCCCATTTCACTTGAATCGTCCACTTGATGGCGCAGTAGAGCAAATGAATCATCACAATGCTTCGAACCATGAGTCGACCGGTTGGATGGAAGCTTCAGTTCATCTCACCATCACTACCTGTAGCTGTCATATGATCTACTCGCTTGCTGATCAATCCGTCGCAGTGTGCCAGCATTTACTGCTGCTTTGCGCCTAACGCACGGGAGGAACGATCCAGAAAAACACCGGCTTAGCTTTATACGGGCTGAGGCACCCTGCAATCAATATGCAGGAGGGTTCCCAATTAACCTAGTTGCGCAGGAGAGCGCGAGGGCGGTAGAGCGAGAGAGAAAGAGGAAAAGAAAGGCAAGTAGCCCATCCGGCTACATCATGAATAACAACAAAAATATAGTGTTAAACTTCAGATTCTTTGTTTTTATCTGTTTTTATTCATCCAGTTGCTTGAAGTGAATCATAAATCTGTACATGATAAAAACAAAGGAAGAATGAATACGCTAAGGTGAAAACCACTTAGTTTGAATTGTTTGTGAACATATGGGTGATGTTTGGGGTGGTCCTTCCTTAGGTCCATAAAATACAGCTATGTTAGATAAAATACCATATGAAACTGTTCTAGATCCATTTGAATAAAATGCAGTGAATAACATGAGACACCAATGCATTAAATCTATGAAGAGAGCGAGCACTATGGTTGTAATGATGCAGTAAAATAATGTAATCTGTGTATATATGTATCTTTACTTTACAGAGTGACATCAGTTGCTCTGAACTCATCTTTAATGTTGTAATGTTGACTTCAGGATTTGAGACATCTCCACAAAGCCAATGAAGATCCAGTATGTAGTGTTTTTAACATGATTAAGTGAACGTTAATTTGCATTTCGCCTCTGCCCAGGCAAAGGACACTGAGATCAGAGGAACTAAATTTGTGGTGGCTGGCCTTAAGGAAGGTGGTCTGTACCGCTTCAGAGTCCGAGCTGTGAATGCTGCTGGAGTAGGAGACCCTGGATTAGTGTCTGAGCTAATTGAGGTCAAAGACAGAACAAGTAAGATACAGATCCAACTTTAACATCTGGAAAAGCAATAATTTTTGTTAATAACACAAACGTAAAAATTGTCCCTGTCTCGTGCAGTTCCTCCTGAGATGGATCTTGACGCCTCAGTGAAGGAGAAAATCGTAGTCCATGCCGGTGGCACCATCCGCATTATCGCCTACGTGTCCGGCAAACCTGCCCCACAGATCACTTGGTGCCGGGATGACAGTGAGGTGCCCAAAGAGGCCGTGGTGGAGACGACAGGCATCTCTAATTCACTGGTCATTAAGAACTGCAGACGCCAACACCAGGGCATTTATACACTAAGTGCAAAGAACGAGGGCGGAGAGAGGAAGAAGGCGGTCATTGTTGAGGTCCTGGGTGGGTAATCACATTCACCTCAAACAATTTGAACATGCTGATGCATAAAGAGCTGTCCCATCCACTTTCTTAACCGCGTATCCAAGTAGAATATGGAAGCTTTATGTGCAGAGTCTGACTCAGTCCTTATCTCTACAGACGTTCCTGGACCAGTTGGTCTTCCCTTCGCTGGAGAGAACCTGACCAATGACTCCTGCAAGCTGACCTGGTACTCCCCTGAGGATGATGGCGGCTCAGCCATTACCAACTATATTATTGAGAAGAGAGAGTCAGACCGCATGGGTTGGACCTCTGTATCTTACACAGTGACAAGAAACAATGCTGTAGTACAAGGACTCATCGATGGCAAGGGCTACTTCTTCAGGATTGCAGCTGAGAACATCATAGGCATGGGACCTTTCGTCGAGACCGACAAGATGGTTCTCATCAAAGATCCCATCTGTAAGTCCAACGTGTAGTAACCTGAAAGGAAAAGAGTCCCTTATTTAACATTTTAGTTGTAACTTCTTTACAATTTTAAGGGTAATCACCAAACTAGAAAAAACATAATAGGAGTTATTGCTGAATTGTTATATACAAAGTTTTTTTTTAAATCCTCATTTCAAAGTTGCAACTATTAGGCATGAAATCTTTAGAAGACGCTGATTTTATGTCATTTTAAAAATTAATTAATTCATCAATTAATTATTACAAATTTGTTTTAAATCTATGGAAGCGCAAAAATAGTTTTTCAATTATATACTTTCAATAATTTGAATGTTAATTATAACCTGGAAGTAATTCTTTTTTACAAGTCAACTCCTCACAATTTGTGCAGAATATCTACAGGAAAACAACAACAACCGCTCGTGAGGCACGAAACCCTTTGACAGTCATTTGGGTAGAACAAAAAAAAACTGCTGTCACTCTGTGTTTGTATCTTCTGCAGCTGTCCCAGAGCGTCCTGAAGATCTAATCATCACAGCTATTACCAAAGACTCCATCTCCGTCACCTGGAGACCACCCAAATATGATGGTGGTGCAGATGTGACCAGCTATGTCCTTGAGTCCCGAATGATAGGCCATGACAGCTTTGTGAGAGTAGGCGGAGAGGACAAGCTGATGGACAGACGGTTCACACTAACTGGGCTGAAGGAAGGCTCAAGCCATGAGTTCAGAGTCTCAGCTGTCAACCAGGTGGGACAAGGCAAACCATCTTTTGCCACCAAACCTGTGCAGTGCAAGGATGAACTTGGTAAGTGACACAACATGACAACATTCATTTTATCAGAAAAACATAGTGACTCACCAATGTGAAAACCAAGGATGGTAACTATGATTCAACATAGCTTATGAGGTATAACAGTTGTTTCAGCAAGTTGGTTTTGGGATGTAATTCGAGGTTTGTCAGTGTTTTGCCATGTAATGACATAAAGAGATGTTTTAATGCTTCAGTTGTCAGCAAATGCCAGAGGTTGTATGTTTTTATTCAGTCGTTCTATTCTGATAATGGAGATAACTTGAGTTTTCCTGGTCTCACGGATAAACTGATTAGATTCTGATTGTCAAAGATCACGGTTACCTTAATCTCACTAAACATACTTTTGGCCAATATGTTATTTGCTAATTATGAGAAAATTTAATACAAATATCTAAATGGCAGAGTGTCACCGTAGTGTGTGTGGAAGTCTTATGTGTTAACCCTGCTTCTCCAAATAATGTGAAAAGACAAAATTATGACATTTTATATTCAAAAGGTCATATTCATGTGTAAAAATACATTTTTAGGTCAGGTTCTTCTAGGTCGTATTTGAGCAAAAGAAGGGAAGTCCAAATATGGTTAGATACTGAACTGATGACATTCACTCATTTTTGAACCACACCTTCATGTGTGCAGATTGTGGGGTTTAAGCTATGTGTGAACATTCCTGTTGCCTATGTTTGTTCATACGGAATAACTGTAAATATATTTTTATTTTAAGTTATTTTTAAAGGCTTCAATGCATCTGTGCATCTTTTGCATGTGACAAAATGTGCCATTATAACTGTTGTAGGTGTGGAAATAGTCTTATATATCAGAGAAAATGATCTAGGGGAAGATTTTCAGCTGATATAATAACTAGCTTAACTGTTACCCCTGCAGAGCCACCGACTCTGGACCTGGACTTCAGGGAAAAGCTCATGGTAAAGGTGGGAGACACCTGCATGCTGTCGGGACGCTACAGTGGCAAACCGGCCCCTGCTATCACCTGGACAAAGAATGATGAGGACCTGAAGGCAGATGAGGACATCAGCCTCCACAGCACCACCCACCACCTCAGCCTCAACATCAGCAAGGCCAAGAGAGAACACAGCGGCCGCTATTGTGTCAGTGTGGAGAATGCTGCTGGCACTCGCTCGGGAATCTGCACCATCACTGTGGTCGGTGAGTCACAGCAAAGAGCTAATGACCTGACCAGCTGTGGAACTGACACAACACAAAAGTAGCATTGATCCAAACCAACACCTAACACCAGAAATGAAGGATATGTTAATGGATGTATCGAGATGAGTGGTCAGCTGCTTGTACATGACTCAAAATCAAATCAGAGGTTTAAAAACTAAAATTCAGAAAAGGCACTTAAAACAGTGCCTCTGTCTGTCTGAGCATTTAAGACCTAATGGCCACGTGTAGTCTGGAAAAAGTCAAGATTTTTTAGACTACTTGGATACACAACACATCAATTTCAGACAGAAAATTAGAGTAGTAAGTATACTGGAGCTGCAATATGGACCATAAGAGAGATTTATGGTATATTATCAGGAAAATGAGGTGCCTGAAAGGCTCTCTCTGTTCTTTTTAAATACTATAGGAAACAAAAATAAGCAATCTGAGGGTGACGTACTGTTTGGGCAATGTGCAACATATTCAAGATATGAAGAGGCCTGGTTTTTTCGAGAACTTGTATATAAGGAGGAAAGTTTTTTATTTGATTCTGGGGTTAACAGGGAGCCACTGATGAGAAGCTAATATGAGAACATTATAGCCTCTTTTTTTAGTTTTCTTTTCTCGTTTCTTTTGCTGCATTATTTTGGATCAAGCGAAGGCTTTTGGAGGAACTTAGAACAACCTGATAACTACAGTAACTGAGCCTAGAAGTAAAAAAGGCTTGAACTTGTTTTTTAGAATTACTCTGAAACAGAATGTTTCTATACTGCAGAAATACTAATGCTTTAGACTTTAGATATTTTCCTTTACTTAGCATGTTGAACAAGTAACTGTTTAAATGTGTAATAAATGTTACATTTGAGTATCCCAGTATTATAACCTTTTATAAGCCGAGGCATGAAAATAAATGAAGATTTTCATGTTGCTGATCGCTGCAAATTATTTTCCTGTCAGACCGTCCTCAGCCACCAGAGGGACCCGTAGAGTTCAACGAAGTCTACAGGAATTACATGGTAATCACCTGGAAGCCGCCTCTGGATGACGGAGGCTGTGCTGTCTCCAACTACATCATTGAGAAGAGAGATACCAACAGAGACCTATGGATGCCTGTCACCTCATCCTGTACCAGAACCACCTGCAGAGTGAGTAGAGATATTTTAAGCACAGAAAATGTTGGAAACAGTGACGAGAAGTGCAAATCTGGGCCAGACTTTTAGTATGCACCTTATATGTAAGAAGATCCTGTGAAGATCTTTGATAAAAAAGTTTGTTTGAAATGCCTGAATTTTTACCATTCTTTTTTTTTATTCTTTTGTTATCAAGACAATATTACAAAGGCTTTGATTACTAATATCCTTTCAGGTGCCAAAGCTAATCGAGGGCCGGGAGTACATCATTCGTATAATGGCTCAAAACATCTATGGCATCAGTGACCCTCTTCTGTCTGCAGAGACTAAAGCTAGAGACATTTTCAGTAAGTGATATTCACAGAGAACGACACACAAAGCCAGCAAGCAATCCGCTTTTGTGTTTATAAAGTAAAAACAGCATGTAATTGCATTTCATTGTGTCTATTACAGAGACACCAGATGCTCCCAAGCAGCCTCTGGTGAAGGAAGTTTACCATGACTCTGCCCTAATCAGCTGGGAGCCGCCTGCTGATGGAGGGAAACCAATCACAGGCTACATTGTGGAGAGGAAGGAGACCATGGCCAACAGGTTCATAAATACATGTAACACTAATAATTTAGGGCCCAGGTAATGTTTGTAGGCTTTTCTTCTAATTGCTTTTTCGTGTACTTACACAGCCATGACTGGCATGTCAAAGTACACAATCCAGACTTGTAACAAGCTTATGAATTATTAACAGCACATTTCAGCTAGTTGTTAAAGTTATTTGTTTTAGTTGCTGATAATGTAACTACTGCTCTGTGAGTGTGTAATGTTTTACCACTGGTCTTGTGTGGTGGGCACCAGTCTGTGGGAGCTATGTCAAACTCTTTCTTCAAGTGTGTGTGTGGCCTCACAAACTCTGATGCCACAGTCGGCCCAATGCCTAATAAATCAAACTTTTTTAGAAAACTGAGATTAAACCTGTTGCAACACAGCAGTGTGGTAGTTAGCTCTGTCACCCCAGAGCAAGAAGGACCCAGGTTTGAGTTTATTTGCCTGCCTTGTCTTTCTATGTGGAGTTTGCATGTTCTCATGCAAACCATGTGTTGTTGTTTTTTTCTGAGTACTCTGGCTTCCTCATTCCTCAAGTTAAAAAAATTTATGTTATTTATATTTATATAAATGCATTCTTACAAACAAATTGTTAGACTTCATCTGAATTTTCATTTCATTCCATTCGATTTCAGCGTTTTCAGTGGGAGAAACTCATCCAAGAAGTCACGTTGATGAGCAAGGAAATATTTCTCCAACTGAAAACGCATCGTCAAGATGAACAAAATCAACTTTCTGGAATTTACTTAGCTGACATGCATCAAGACATCAGCCTTTATGTTTCTCTTCTCAGGTGGGTTCGCTGCAACACAGAAAGAATCCATCCTAAGGTGGAGTATTGGGTGACCGACCTCCTGAAAGGCTGCGAGTATGAGTTCAGGGTCAGTGCTGAGAATGAAGTGGGAGCTGGAGACCCAAGCCCACCATCTAAACCGGTCTTTGCCAAAGATCCCATTGGTGAGTTGTTCTCTTACAATTACACTCCATGTTATTATTAGTGGATGTAAATGCAGCACAAGAATATTCCTTCTTCTTTTCCCTAGTGAAACCTAGTCCGCCAGTGAATCTAAAGGCTATCGACTTTACCAAAGAGTCAGTTACCCTGTCATGGGAGCCACCCACCGACACTGGCAGAGGAAAAATCTTTGGATACTTGCTGGAGTTCCAGGCAGCTGGAAAGGAGGAATGGCTCAAGGTGAGGAAGTTACCTTGAGCCATTGAGGCGAGAGATATAACATGTAGACAACCCCTACAACTACATTTAACCTTTTAATTTCTTCATTTCAATTCCAATGTTCTTTCTTTCTTTCTTTCTTTCTTTCTTTCTTTCTTTCTTTCTTTCTGTCTTTCTTTCTTTTTTATTTCACTGAATTTTGTCAATTTGGACAACAGGTGAACCAGACTCCAGACTCCTGCAAAGAAACCAAGTTCAAGGTTATCAACTTGGAAGATGGTGTTTTGTACCGCTTCAGAGTCATGGCTGTCAACGCTGCTGGGGAGTCCAACCCAGCCAACCTTACTGAGCCGATTAGAGTACAGGACAGACTTGGTGAGTTGGTATTTCAGTATCATAGAATGCTACATAATGCTACATATGTGTGTTGAGGTACTCTAGTGTTTGTAGTCATTAATTCTCTCACTTCCTTCTTCTACATCTTTCAGAGCCTCCAGAGTTGATTCTGGATGCCGGAATGACCCGAGAAATTAAAGCCATGGCTGGCACTCATATTGCTCTGATAGCTGGCATCAAAGGTGTCCCATTTCCCACTGTCACCTGGAAGAAGAATGACGCAGAAGTTCCCCCTCGGGCAGATATCGAAACCAACCAGACAGGCACCAAGCTGGAGATGAGGTTCTGCCATCGTGGTGACTGTGGAGATTACACCCTAACTGTGGAGAATCCAGCAGGAACCAAGACTGTCACCTGCACTGTGCTAGTTCTTGGTAAGTACGGAATTATTTGTAGAATTGGATTATTAACTAAAATTCAGTGGTGGTTTGAAGGGACACATCTGGAGCTGAATCATCTGTGTGGTTTTTAATTTTGAAAAAGTGACTGTGATTAAGCACATTTTATTTTTGTGAGCCATCACCCCTGTGATACAAAGTCAGTTTCATTTTTGTGTCTTCCCCTAATGAAGGATCAGACTTTAGTGATGTTCTTTGTGTGTTTCTTCAGACAAACCTGGTCCTGTCCAGCACCTCCGTGTGTCTGATGTCAGGAGTGACTCTGCCTACCTGTCCTGGAAAGATCCAGAGGATAATGGTGGTACTCGCATCACTAACTTTGTGGTAGAGAAGAAAGACACAGCTTCCACTCAGTGGGTCCCTGTCTGCTCTACATCAAAGAAACGCAGTATGATGTTGAAGCACCTGATGGAGGGCACGTCCTACTCGTTTAGAGTTGCCGCTGAAAACCAGTTCGGCCGCAGCGAATATGTCGAGACACCAAAGGCCATCAAGGCAATGAACCCACTCTGTGAGTAACAACACAGTGACTTCAAATTCATCTATATTATTTTGGTGTTGGAAAATTCCACAGATGCTTGCTTAATCATCCAAAATCTTACCTGGCGTAGGGTTTTCTGGCGATGCTATTCCCAGATTATGAATAGAATCAACTTTCTGGGATACTGAAAATAGATTTCCTTAAGCACCAAAGAAAACTATGTTGCACAAAGAGTGAGTAGTTGAAGCCTGAATCGCTCTCATTTTGCTTTCATCCCTCCAGTCCCTCCTGGTCCTCCCAAAGACCTGCATCATGTTGATGTGGACAAGACTGAGGTATGGTTAGCATGGAACTGGCCTGATCGCAATGGAGGAAGTGAAATCATAGGCTTTCTGGTTGAGTACCAGGAAGAGGGAGAGAAAGAGTGGTATGAATGGAAAACTGTCAGCATCCCTGAGAGTCATGTGACTGGTCTGGAGGAAGGAAAAACCTACCGCTTCAGAGTGAGGGCTGAGAATGCCATTGGCCTCAGCAGACCTGATACCACAGTGCCTATCCTCTGCCAGGAGAAACTAGGTAGGGCAGAAGACAGTATTTGCATGACCCCTATTGGATTTCACATATAACTAATAGCATGAAATTAGTGTTCCAGTTGTTTGTTTTCACCTGAAATTAGATATTTACTTAATAGTGTAGGAATTGTGGTGCAGATGTGTGTTCTGTGATAGTGTCTCGAGTGAGTACTTAGAATTAGAGGAGGCAGATGATCTTAATGAAAAAAAGAAACTGTTGATAAGGCTGGTAAACTGGTAAAGTTTGAATAATTTAACTTTGTTTCATATTTGTTTCATATGAGTCTAGTAATGTGAGGTGACCTCTTTTTGCACAGTGCCCCCAATTGTTGAAGTTGATGTTAAACTCACTGAAGGCATCATTGTGAAGGCCGGGACTACCATCAGACTGCCAGCTATAATGAGAGGAATCCCTGTCCCAACTGCCAAGTGGTCCATCGAAGGAGAGGAGATCACCAGCCAGGGCAACATTAAGATTGACACTGATAATTTCTCCACTATTCTCACCATTAATGAGTGCACCAGAAACCACACTGGAACCTACCTGCTCACTGTGTCCAACCCAGCAGGAACCAAGACGGTGGCCTTAAATGTCACTGTACTCGATGTTCCAGCTGCTCCGATTGGACCTGTCAACATATTGGAGGTCATGCCAGATTCCATGACAATTGAATGGCGTCCTCCTAAAGATGATGGTGGGAGCCCTATAACCAATTACATTGTGGAGAAAAGAGAGTCCAACAAAGAGACATGGGGAGGTGTGAGTTCTGGTAGTCTTGCAACGCAGCTCCGGATCGCTCGCCTTCAGAAAGGAGTAGAATATGTAGTCCGCATTCGTGCTGAGAACAAGATGGGCATTGGTGCTCCTCTGGAGAGCAAGCCCACTGTTGCTGAGCACTCATTCATGCCCCCTAGTGCACCTGGTAAGCCACAATCCTATGATACCTCAGAGGATGCTGTTACACTTGGCTGGACTATGCCCCTAACTGATGGTGGCAGTCAGATCACTGGCTACATCATTGAGCGCAGACACAAGGGAGGAAAGTGGATCCGTGTCAACAAGACACCTTGCAAGGACCTGAGGTACCGAGTCCTGGGCCTCTACGAGGGCAGCGAGTATGAGTTCAGAGTGTTTGCTGAAAATATTGCTGGATTTAGTGGCCCCTCCCCCGTCTCCGACCCCTGCAAGCCCTGCAGGCCCATCACTGTCCCGAGTCCCCCTGTCAATCCTAAAGTTAAAGATTACAGCAGGGCCACTGCTGACCTGGTGTGGACCAAACCTACCAAAGATGGAGGCAGCCCAATCCTTGGTTACACTGTGGAGATGAAGAAAGCTAGCGCTGAAGAATGGAAAAAAGTCAACCTGGATGACTTGATCAAGCAGTGTGCCTACAGGGTGAAGGGTCTGGAAGAGGGTGTGACCTATAGATTCAGAGTCTTTGCTTCAAACATGATTGGAGACGGGGAGCCAAGAGAAATCCCAGAATCAATCACTGCTCAGGATATTCTTATACCTCCAGAGATTGAGATGGAGGCCACTTGTCGAGATTGTGTTACTGTGCGTGTTGGACACAACATCAACATCATTGGTTACATCAAGGCTCGCCCTGATCCTGAAGTTTTTTGGTCAAAAGAAGAGACTATTCTAGAGAACAGCAAACGTGTTACCATCCTGCAGAATCTTCCTTTAGTCCACCTAAAGATCAAGGAAGCTACAAGGAATGACCATGGCAAATATATTCTGAAAGCTTCAAATGAAGGTGGTGAGGCTTCCCGCACCATCACAGTTAATGTTCTAGACCGACCCAGCCACTGCCAGAATCTGAATGTGACCTATGTCACTAAGGGCTCATGCATGATCAACTGGGAGAGCCCTAAGGACAATGGTGGATCCGAGATCACCAACTACATTGTGGAGTGCAGAGAGCCTAGTATTAGCATGTGGTCTATGATCTCTTCCCACTGCACTAATCGTAAGATCAAGGCAAAGCTGATGGAAGGCCATGAGTACCTGTTCCGTGTCTGTGCTGAGAACAAAATAGGACCAGGACCCTCCGTGGAGATCAAAACTCCTACATTGGCCATTGACCCTATTGACAAGCCCGGCGAGCCTGAGAACTTCAGAGCAATTGACATTGGTAAGAACTATGTCAATTTGAGGTGGCGGAAGCCTGACTATGATGGTGGAAGCCCCCATCTCTCCTACAACCTGGAGTGTAAAACTAAAGATGCGGAGGAGTGGGAAAAACTCAACACCACTACTCTCACAGACACCTTCTTTTTGGCTGATAAATGTGTGGAAAATCAGACGTACACCTTCAGGTAGGTTACTTCATTTCTAATTTGTAATTACTGATTGTTTTGTTGGGTGTTTATCTGATCAGAAATTGTGTTCTGTAAGGGTTATCCAGCTATCTACCTTTATTTACCTTTATTTTTACAATTTGTTATCCAGAGTGCAGACTGTCAGTGAAGGAGGTGAGAGTGCCTGGGTAAAACTTGCAGATATTCTGGTGAGGGAGGAGATCCAGAAGCCTGTCATTGACCTGAAGTTGGCTGGAACACTGACAGTAAAAGCTGGAGAGTCAGTCAGGATGGAGGCTGCTCTGAGAGGAAAGCCCCAGCCTGAGGTTAAATGGATGAAAGATAAGGCTACTGGAGACAATCCCAGAATAAGCTATGAAACTGGCCCAGACTACTCAAAATTTCTGATGACTAAGTCCAAGCGTAGTGACACAGGAAAATACATTATCACTGCCACCAACTCGGGTGGGACTTTCACAGCATATGCCAATGTTAATGTCCTGGATGTTCCCGGCCCAGTGAGAGACCTGAGGATTACTGGCATTGGAGCTGACAAGTGCAGAGTGGTTTGGGATGCTCCAGAGGATGATGGAGGTTGTGAGGTGGACAGCTACATTCTAGAGAAATGTGAAACCAGGAGGATGGTTTGGTCCACATATTCAGCCTCTGTGGTCACACCATACTGCAACGTCACTCGTTTGGTGGAGGGCAATGAATACATATTCAGAGTGCGGGCAGAAAACAAGATGGGAACTGGCCCTGCCATGGAGAGTAAGCCTATAACTGTCAAGACTCAGTTCAACAAACCTGGACCCCCTGATGCCCCTGAAGTCACCAAGGTAAATTTTTGTATACTCTCTACTCGGTTTTATTTCAAATTGTGTCTCGTGGAAAACATTTCAACATCTTCAAGCTTTTATAACATAGTAATTAACATAGCTATAATAATTGGTTGTGATTAAAGGTGAGCAAAGATGAGATGACTGTGGTCTGGGCTCCTCCTGAGAATGATGGAGGAAAGTCAATCACTGGCTACATCCTTGAAAGGAAGGAGAAGAGGGCAGTGCGCTGGGTGCCCTGCACTAAGAGCCCAATCTCTGAGAGACGCATGAAAGTAACCAACCTGATTCCAAACCATGAGTACCAGTTCAGAGTGAGAGCTGAGAATGATGTCGGTCTGGGAGATCCCAGTAAACCCTGCAGACCAGTTGCAGCCAAAGATCCTATTGGTGAGTTTGCTGTCACAACTTTACTATTAAGAAGTTCAAGTGGGGGGGTTGTTTTGTTTTGTTTTTTTGTGGTAGAGCTGAAGAACGTGTAAAATGCCAGACAATGGGGTTTAAGATTTGGCAAGCTTTGTCTTTTATTTCTGCATTCATAATAAGTTTTGTTTCACTGTCTCCACCCACAGAGCCACCTGGTCCCCCTGCAGCCCTGAAGGTGGCCGACAGCACAAAAACCTCTATCACTCTGTCCTGGTCTAAACCTGTCTATGACGGTGGCGCCCCCATTATTGGCTATAGCTTGGACATGAGGCTGAAAAGTGAGGCCGACCCTGAGAATCCCACAGTGGGCTGGAAGAGAATTGATACTCATGGACCACTGGTGCTCACAGAATTTACTATTGGCCAGCTTGATGAAAAGCAGGAGTATGAGTTCAAGGTGTCAGCCCAAAACCAGGTGGGCTGGGGACGCCATGCTTATTTGAAGGAGGCAGTGTCTCCCAAGGAGATCCTGGGTAAGAAGTCATCAGATTCCGTGCCTCAATAAATGTTTTATAGTACAGTAGTCTTGTAAATTTTCCAAAGCTGATGACACTAAACATTCATTTGTTTTTCATGTAAAACAGAGGCTCCAGAAATTGAGCTGGATGCCAGTCTGAGGAAAGGCCTTTCTGTGAGGGCTGGTTGTCCTATAAGGCTTTTCGCCGTGATCAGAGGAAGGCCTGCCCCCAAGGTTACGTGGAAGCGGTTGGGTGTGGACAATGTAATCCGCCGAGGTCACGTGGACCAGGTTGACACCATGTCCTTCCTTGTTATCCCTGAGAGCACCAGAGAGGATTCTGGAAAATATTCACTCACTCTGTCCAACTCAGCTGGAGAGAAAGCAATATTTGTCCGTGTCAAAGTCCTTGGTGAGAAACAAAAAATGAATGTCAAATGGTGTATTTTCTTTTAATAACTTTTAAACCCGTTTAAAAAGACTGGTCACTAATGAGGAGGCTGTCATGTCTTTGATTTAAAAATTTTGTCCACAGACACACCTGGTCCAGTTGGCAGCCTGGATGCCACTGACATCACCAAAACAACAGCTCAACTCTCCTGGTTGCCACCAGAGAATGACGGAGGCAGCCCCATCCTCAATTACGTTGTGGAGAAACGAGAGGTTGATAGGAAGACCTGGACCAAGTGCACAGAGGACCTGAAGAAGACTAGCTTCAAGGTCACCAACCTTACACCTGGCATTGAGTATTACTTCAGAGTCATGGCCTGCAACAAGTATGGCATTGGAGTTCCTCAGGACTCACCCAGGTCCTACTTGGCTGTTGACCCAATCAGTAAGTTCCGTGTTCTTCTGACTCTGAATTTAGTCTGTTTAGTTAATTGTTCCTAATCCCTGCTTTGTTTTGGATTCAGGTGAGCCAGACCCTCCAAAGAAGATGGACGTGTTAGAGATCACCAAGAATAGTGCTACACTGGGCTGGCTAAAACCACTCAGGGATGGAGGTGCCAAAATCAATGGTTATGTGGTGGATTACCAGGAGGAGGGTGCACCTGAGGACAAATGGACACCATATTCTGTGGTCAAAGACCTGACTATCGTGGTAGTTGGTCTGAAAGAAGGAAAGAAGTATAAGTTCAGAGTGGCTGCTAGGAACTCAGTGGGAGTCAGTTTGGCTCGAGAGGCTGAGGGAATGTTTGAAGTTAAGGAGCAGCTCAGTAAGTAGACAAGTTTAAACATTTCCTCATACTAGTATGGATAATAGTAACTGAGACACTGTCATTTATGTAGGTCAATCAAAAAGTTTAAATCATCATGAAATACAGAAGTAACTATTGATATTTTGTCTTCCTTTCAGTGGCTCCGAAGATAATCATGCCTGACATTGTGACAGTCAGAGCTGGATCCAAGATGACGATTGAGGCTATTGTGGCAGGTAAACCTGCTCCTGTCTGCAAGTGGAAGCAGGGCAATGAGGATGTGCTAACCTCTGATCGCCTGTCCATTGTAAAGACGCTGACAACTACCTCACTTATTATAAAGAATGTAACAAGAAAGGATAGTGGTTACTACAGCCTGTCAGCTGAGAACAGTACTGCCAAGATTAATCAGATCCTCAAAGTCATCGTCATGGGTAAGTTAGAACGGAGACTTTTTAGACCGCTGGTTCTTGTAAACACATCAGCAGTGCTTTGCCCTGCCTTCCATTATCAACATGTGTGCTGTCTGTGTCTCAGACATCCCTGGACCCCCTGAAGCTCCTTTGGAGATCACTGAACTGGACATGGATGCGTGCACACTGCTCTGGAACTCGCCACAGGAGGATGGTGGTAGCAACATCACCAACTACATTGTAGAGAAGTGTGATGTTAGCCAGGGTGATTGGATCACTGTTTCTACATCTTGCACAAAGACGAGCTTCAGAATGACCAAACTGACACCTGGCAAAGAGTACAGCTTCCGTGTTCGTGCTGAAAACAGGTTTGGCGTCTCTGGGCCTACCTACTCTGAGAAGATGATTGCCAGATATCCATTTGGTGAGCATTTGTATTCTAATATCTATCATAGCTTCCCAACATTACAAGAATAACATTATGTGTTAATGTTTTTTTTCCCCAAAGATCCTCCGAGTGAACCCAGAAACCTGCAGATAAACAAGATCAACAAGGATTTCGTCATCCTATCATGGGAGCGTCCCAGCTCTGATGGTGGGAGCCCCATCAGTGGATATTGCATTGAAAAGAAGGAGAGGAATAGCCTTCTGTGGGTGAAGGCTAATGAGACTCTGGTCAAAGCCACTCAGTACACCTGCACAGGCCTGATCGATGGCCTGGAGTACACCTTCAGGGTGTCAGCACAAAACCAGGCCGGACAGGGCAAACCTTGTAAACAGACAGACTTCATCACTGCCAGGACTGCTGTCGGTATGAACACTTCTTATAACTAGAAAAACATCATAATTTTTCTCACCATTTCACCGTATTGTTGATAAATTTCAGTTAAAACCAATAGCACAAAAATGACAACTTTAAATTCAAAGAGCTCTTCACAACACAACTGCACTTTTATGTCATTCATGTTTTTATTAACTGGAAAAAATATCATATAGATCATTTTATGTATGCCCTCTGTTGTTTTTAACATTTCCCGATCAGTTTGTTGAAGCTAGCAAACATTTGATTTTTTAAAAATTCTTTTTAATCACGGAATAAAAATGTATCTCCCCTGTTAGATAACGTGCTCCATGTACCAAGGCTAAATATTTAATAGTGATTCAGTTCAGCAGCCCCAGGCCCTTTAATACATGTCAAACAAAAAGATAAGGAAATTTATTTTTAAAATACCTACTTCCGTTACAAGTTAACTAACCAAACACATCTGAAATACAGAAGCCCATTTTAGCCCTAACATTAAAGTGGTGAATTCTATTTTTCTTTCTATCAGTTGATCAATCAGTTACACTTTTTTTAAAATTATCAATCAATCAATGTCAACTCAACAGTATTATAGTAAAGTATATAACAGTAAAGCTAGGGAACCCTTCCTTTAAATAAACATGCTGTATTTGATTTAATACCCACAAAAACTGAGGAGAAAGCAATTAAATGATTACAGATGCTGCAATTCAATGATAAAATCAGAAGTTTAATTATTCCATGTCAAAATCACCTACACAATACTCCCCACCCACAATCGTCTTTGACTCATATCAGAATGATTCAAATTCTACTTTTTCTGGTTAATATATTTTCTTTTTAATTTCAGGATATATTGCTATATATATTTGCACTCTTTTGAATTCAAGTTCATTCTTTGTTATTTAAACTGTATCGTCTACAACTGTTCATTTGTGGGGTTTTTTGTTTCTATCTAGACCCACCAGGAAAACCCGAGCCCATGGATGTGACCAAGAGCACTGTATCATTAGTGTGGAGCCGTCCAAAGCATGATGGTGGCAGCAAGTTGATTGGCTACTACGTGGAATATACAAAGCTTCCAGAAGAGAAGTGGACTCGCTGCAATGCCAACTGCATGAACATCCAGACAGAGAACTATGTGGTGACTAACCTACAGGAGGGTCAACAATACCAGTTTAGAGTCATCGCCAAGACCGCAATTAACAGCAGCCTTCCATCTGAGCTGTCTGACCCTATTCCTGTCATCGCAGAGAATGGTACAACTCTGCATAGTAACGAAAGTGATACACAAATACAGTCATATACAAATAATCATGAGGGGTTTTTTCCCCTTCTATGCAGTTGCTCCTCGTGTGGAATTAGGTGTTAACATGAAGAACCTGATTGTGGTGAAAGCTGGAGAAAATGTCTTCCTGGATTCTGAGGTCTTTGGCAAACCACTTCCCAAAGTGAGCTGGAAGAAGGATGGAGTACCTCTGGTCCTTGCTGAGGGAATGAAGATGTCCCAAAAGAAACATCTTCATCTGCTGGAGCTATACTCTGTCACCAGGAAAGAGACTGGGGACTACACTATCACAGCTGAAAATGTCAATGGCACCAAGTACGCCACCATAAAGGTCAAAGTACTCGGTAAGCTAAAGTTATGTTAGTTCATTTTATTGTAGTGCTTAAGCTAGCGTTTCATGTTTTGAGAGAAAAAAGCTTATCCTTGTGTTTTTTCTACCACAGACAAACCAGGCCCTCCAGCCTCAGTGAAAATTTCTAAGGTGTTTGCTGACCGTGTTAAGCTGCGATGGGTGCCACCACTTGCAGATGGCGGTTCTGAAATCACTAACTACATCATTGAGAAGCGTGAGACCAGCAGGGCCAACTGGGCATTGGTCACCTCAAACATCCATGGACACATCACTGACTGTTCAGTGGAGAAACTTATTGAAGGACACGAATATCAGTTCCGAGTCAGTGCTGAGAACCAGTATGGTGTGGGAGATCCCATTATGACTGATGCAGTCGCGGTCAAGAATCCGTATGGTAAGAAAACTCACTGTATTCTACTTGAGGAGAATAAAATGAAAAAATGAAAGCATGCATGTTTTACTGACTGCATAAAGTCTCATATTAACTTGACCATGTTTAAATCATTAAAATTACTGTGATTTGATATATATCTTGACATTTTTTTGCTTAAATTCAATTTTTCAAATTGTGAATTGTGTGACATGGCTAATGTGTAAGTTTTTTTATTCCTTTATAACACCATGTTGATCAAAGTTGGTGTAGCCCATCTTGCTTAATGATGACCAAAAATAAAGACAGATACTAATGGGAGAGAGTTAAAACATTATCTGTTGTGTCAGATGTTCCTGGTCCATGTGAGCCACCTGTCATCACCAACATCACACAGAACTCCATGACAGTCAGCTGGAAGGCCCCAGCCAATGATGGCAAGTCTCCCATCCTTGGCTACATGGTGGAGAAACGTGAGGCCACTGAGCTGAGCTGGGCTAAGGTTAACCGCCGACCAGTCATTGATAGGACCATCAAAGCCATTCAACTGACTGAGGGCTCTGAATATGAGTTCAGAGTAATTGCTATAAACAAGGCTGGTCTTGGGAAACCCAGCGACGCTTCAAATGGTGCCCTGGCTGTTGACCCTGTCTGTGAGTATCTGCTTTAAAACACACTTTCTAAATGAAAGTAAAACGCTTCAGACAACTAATTATTCATAAATAATTATTTAGATCCTCCCGGGCCACCTGCCTTCCCCAAGGTGGTGGACTCTACCAAGACGTCAGTTAGCCTTAGCTGGACCAAACCAGCATACGATGGTGGCTGTGAGATCATTGGATACTTGGTTGAGTGCAAGCGAGTTGATGCAGAGAGCTGGACAAGATGCAATGTGCCGAAGAAACTCCAGGCCACGAAATTCCTGCTGACAGGCCTGATGGACAACACTGAGTACCAGTTCAGAGTCACGGCTGTTAACAAGATTGGCTACAGTGAGCCCAGCGAGGTGCCTGGAAACTACATGCCTAAGGATATTCTAAGTATGTTCCCAGCTGTCTCTGATTCAACACTATTTAGATAAATAATTTCCAAAAGGAAAATTGTTTAGTTTACTGGTTTAATTTAATGGTTTTCTGTGGGGTGTTTCCACTGGAGATCAACAGCTTATGTCTAAATCATTGTTATGAATACGTGTGGCTATTGCTGAATCTCTAAAAGAAAAAAGAATTAAATCAAGAGGCAATATAAAAATCAATCAAGTTAGCTTGGCTTTGAAGGAGAGACTGTGTCAGCAAATACAGTAGTACACCTTATCTCTCATTACTATATCACAGTGTATCACTGTGAAAGAGGAACTCCATTTCATTAAATAACTTTAATGCATATGACATTATGGAGATCGGATTGTATGACTACTAACTGGCTCAGTGGTAATAGAAGAAAATGAAATAACCATTTACCTAATCCAACATAGAATTTCTCATATCAAGTCCAACTATTAGAAAAATTTGACCAACCAGCAATTTGCTAGCGTAATTGAAATTGCTGGTCTGGCCTTTGTGGTTCTCTTTTTAATCTATATATTATATTACTTGTTTCCGCTAGCGAATTAACTTTATTAATTAAACATATTGTCAATAATTAGTATCATTCATGGTGAACTTGATAAACTAAGACTTTCTTGGTATTAGCCAAAATTAACACTTAATATTTTCAGGAGGACAAATTAGCACTGTGAAAAGAGAATACTGCCAAATGGGCAAGACAGATTAATAGAAGAAATAATGGCAACTAACAGACGACATAACAGTTAAGTTAGTCACTGTGATTAATGACCAGTGATGGGAATAACGGCGTTACAAGTAACGGCGTTACTAACGGCATTACTTTTTTCAGTAACGAGTAATCTAACTAATTACTATTCCTATCGTTACAACGCCGTTACCGTTACTAACAAGAAAATGCGGTCCGTTACTATTTCAACAAACAGACGGTTGAAGCTGTGTTCAGTTTACCGCATCTTATATCAGCTGCAGGAAGTAGCTGTAAGTAATCTGGACGCTGCAGCTTTAAGCAGCTGCGCTCCCGCGGACGGCGATCACGATCACTGTCTGGCACAACACCTGGAGCACAGGGGGCAAAACAATGGCATGAGTGCTGCTGTTTGACTGAGGAAGAATAAAGTAGTCGTGGTCAATCACATGACCACTTAAAGACAAAGCAACAAGGTGACAAGGCCACGTAAAACCAGAGTCATGATAAACTATATATACACAGCGTTTTTTCCTCAATACTTTCGTCACGTTTACTGTCTAAGGACAGCACAGCGAACACTCTCTGCTTATGAGCAAACAATAAGAAAAACAAAACAAAAACTGCCCGTTTGTGTTGGTGGGAAAATGCACCATGTGGACCAATGAAAAAATGATATGGCAACATGACATTTGGTTGTTTAGGAAGAGGCGGAAGTTTTAAGAGTGACGGCGAGAGAGAGAGAGAGAGAGAGAGTTTTGAGATGTGAGAGATTTGTGATGTTTAGCGTGTTTGGAGTGTGTAGTTAATGTGTTGTCTTGTGTAGTTAGTGTTTAGTTTTGTGTTGTGTGTCAGAACAATGAGGCGACTGCTGTCTCCAGGTAAAATAGGAGTGATACACCTGCTGCTGTCAGACCTGCAGGTATCAGGCTGTGATGTTCTCCTTTATAGTGGACAGAAATTATGTTTTTGCAGTGGCACAAATAATTTGTGGCATCTTATTGAAGAACAGCTGATTGTTCTGTAAATAGTTTGAAATGGTTATTAAAAAGAGGGTAAAAGGTAAATGGGTGCAAATAACTTTGTTGTTTGTAAAACATGTGCATATGATTTTAACATTGACAATTTATATTTGCATTTAAAGTTATGAAATATGATTCATTAAACATGTTTGTGGTTGTTACAGTAAAAATATAACTTTTTCTACTCAGATTTTATGTTTTTTGTCTGATTTTAGATCAATTGTGTTAATACAGTTTGTCAAAATGAAAACATGACTGTAAATTCAGACACGTGAGGTTGTGCTGAAAAGGATGAGACCAAACAAAGTAAATAGTTTTTAAAGGTGAAATGTGGAGGAAACATCAAAAGTGGTTAAAATGGCCAATTATACCCTGGATTTTTTTAAAGTAACACAATAGTTACTTTTCAAGTAATTGTTACTTTTAGAATCTTGTAACTCAGTTACTAACTCAATTACTTTTTTGAAGAAGTAACTAGTAACTATAATTAATTACCTTTTCAAAGTAACTTTTCCAACACTGTTAATGACCCTCCCTTTGTTTCCTCCAGTTGCTCCTGATGCTGAGCTTGACGCTGACCTGAGAAAAGCTTTGGTTCTGCGAGCTGGAGTAACCATGAGGCTCTATGTACCACTGAGAGGACGCCCAGCACCGAAGGTGACATGGACTAAAGTTGATGCTAATTTGAAGGAAAGGCAAGGACTACTGATCAAGACATCGGACTGGGACACCCTACTGATGATTGAGGATGTTAACAGATGTGATTCTGGCAAATATGTTCTGTCACTGGAGAACAGCAGCGGCTCTAAGAGCTACACCATCGTAGTAAAGGTCCTTGGTAAGAATTTCTGTCATATAAAATGTTGAGTATACACACTCCAGTGAGTTGTACTGTCACATGCAATGTAGATATGTAAATGAAACCAAGTTAGTGAAAAACCTTTTCACTGATTTATAGTTCAAATCTATCAAGAGGTTTTTCTTAACCTGCATCGAGCTGAAATACAATTCTTGAAATGGTGGTTTTAAAAATTAAACATTAAATGTATTAAATGGAGTCGAACCTAGTTTTCACCTTAAAATGTGTAAAAAAAGTAGAACATATATATGATTATATAAGATATATCAGAAATATCAGCATGAAGAAAGAAAATGTTTTTTTTTTAATAAATATAGAGTGCACACATAGGCCTAATGTGTGTTTTCACTTCAGACATGCATTTGTACTCATGCTTGTATAACTTTCTGAAAGCTATAAGGCAAAGAAATTGCTTCTCTTGCCCACTTAGATTCTCCGGGCCCACCCTTAAACCTGACTGTGAAGGAAACCTCCAGAACCCATGCCTGCATCACCTGGGATGCCCCACTGATTGATGGTGGTAGTCCAGTTAAGAACTACATCGTAGAGAAACGTTTGGCTGAGAGGAAGGCCTGGACCTGTGTGTCAGCAGATTGTCCTAAGATTTCCTTCAGGATCACCAACCTGGAGGCAGGACAGGCCTACTGCTTCAGAGTTCTAGCTGAAAATGCATACGGCATTGGAGAAGGCTGTGAGACCCCAGGCAGCATCAGGGCCTCTGGTACTTACAAGATATTTGATACTTAAATTTAAATATACTCATGCTGTATAGCCACTGCATTCATGAGCTCAAAGAAAGACACTATATATGTAGCTAAAAAAACACAAACGTTCAACCTTCGTCCATTTGTCCTTCCTGTGCAGAGCAACCTGGTCCAGTGACAAACTTCAAAGCTCAGAAGACTACAAAGAACTCTATCACCCTGTCCTGGAAGAAGCCAATCAATGATGGTGGAAGTTTTATTACTGCATACATCTTGGAGCAGGGTGAAGGCGAGGAGAAGTGGAAGCAGATCCTGAAAGGCAAGAATACCTCACACACTATTGGAGAACTGACAGAAGGCAAGGAGTATTCTTTCAGGGTCAAGGCACTCAACGAGTCTGGAGAGGGACCACCCACTGAGCTCACTGCTGTTGCAAAGGACCAATTTGGTAAAAATGCCTTCATGCTATTCTTAGTTATACTAAAATTATAATGTTTAACTTTTTAATAATGATTATCCTTTTGAACTTCAGTGCTACCCAACTGCAACTTAAGTGATCTGCACGATGGCTGCTGTGTAGTTAAGGAGGGCAGCACAACACGCATTAACATCCCCATCACTGGAGTTCCAAACCCCACTGCTACCTGGAAGAAGGGCGATATGGGAGTGGGTGATACTGGCCGGATGTGTGTTGAAGCATCTCAGGGCATCACCACCTTACTGATTAGAGACTGCCAGAGAGGAGATGCTGACACCTACACTATAAATGTCAGGAACAGTGCTGGCTCAAAGGACTGCAAGTTCCAGCTGAAGGTGGTTGGCAAACCCGGTATCTGCACTGGACCCATTACGTTTGATGAGATAACTGCCGATGCCATCACACTAGAGTGGGGACCACCCAAAGATGATGGTGGTGCAGAGGTGTCTAATTACATTGTGGAGAAGAGGAGAACAACAGATAACAAGTGGACTACAGTGGCTTCTGCCATCCAGAAGACCACCATGAGAGTGATCAGACTCCATGACGGGATAGAATACATCTTTAGAGTGTTTGCTGAGAACAAGTATGGGGTTGGAGAACATCTGAGGTCTGACCCAGTCGTTGCCCAGCATCCTTTCAGTAAGTATGGCCATTGTCTACTACCACTGTTAATTTATAACTGATTATACTTCAGATCTTTTTGTCTTGTCAAGACATTGTCTCTAAATTTTTTTTAAAAAGGGCAAAATTATCTCTAGTAATAACATTTAGTGCTCATTATAAGACCTGATGTATTTGTTTTACAAATATACTTTTAAAATACTAGAAAATGAAATGAAACTATAGCTTTGTTTAGGGATTTTTTAAATCAGTCTTTCTCGTGTAATGACACCATCTGCATTATACTGAACTGATTTTATTACACATATTAATAATGTCTTCCTCTCGCTTTCTCTTCTTCCTCCAGATGTTCCCGGGGCACCTGCTCCACCAGAAATTGTGAGCATCAGGCATGAATCAGCCATCCTGACTTGGGTTGATCCAAAGGACACTGGTGGTGCTCCAGTTACTGGTAACAAACAGTGATCAATGTACATGCTAAGTATGGGCAAACAGCAAATAACAATCAGTCTGATCAAGTAATTTTGTGTTTTCCCTAGGATATCACATAGAGTATAAGGAAAAGAACAGTCTGATGTGGAAACGGGCGAGTAAGACTCCTCTGAGAGTAAAAGAATGTAGAGTCACTGGACTGACAGAAGGATTAGAATATGAGTTCAGGGTAATGGCCATGAACATGGCTGGCCTGGGAAAGGCTAGCAAAGTAACTGAGGCTGTGGTTGCTCTGGATCCTATTGGTGAGTCCACTGTTATTGGAATCTTTTTTTTGCTCTAATCTTATTCAACTATGTACTGTTTACAGTACTTGTTACCTGAGCTATGGCAACCATGTCTCTTTTTGAAATGTTTTACAACCGTCTTCTCTTTTGTGTCATGTCAGATCCTCCTGGCAAGCCTGAAGTAATCAGTGTCACCAGGAGCACAGTCACTCTGATGTGGACAGCTCCCAAATATGACGGTGGCTACAAGCTTACTGGTTATATCATAGAGAAACTTGAGGCCAGTGGTAAGGCCTGGATGAAAGCAAATCATGTCAACATTCAGGGCTGTGCTTTTACCGTCACTGACCTGACTGAAGGATCCCAGTATGAATTTAGAGTCAGAGCTAGGAATGCTGCAGGTGCCATCAGTATTCCTTCAGAGCCTACTCCGCTTTTGACCTGCAAGGATGAATATGGTGAGCTAAGTAGTAAACAGTTTGACTAGTTTTGGAGTTGACTGTAGATTATTGATTCCCCCCCCCCTTTTATGTATAAATGTACAGTTAGGACTTAAAAATATTTGTCAAAAGTTTGAAATTTTGAGTTGTTGAACGTTTAAAATGTCAACAACTGTCTACAATGCAAAATACAACTTTTTTTGTCATCTCTACAGAGCCCCCAACCATCACTATTGACCCAGAAATGAAAGATGGTATAGCCATCAGAGCAGGAGACACAATTGTAATCTCAGCTTCTAAAATTGTGGGCAAACCTCCACCTACTGCAGCGTGGTCCAAGGGAGGACGTGAGTTGAAGACTTCTGACATTGTCACCATCACCAGTACCCCAACCTCCTCTACTCTGGCTATTAAGTACGCAAGTCGGAAGAACACAGGGGAGTACACTATCACTGCCAGCAACCCCTTTGGCATTAAGGAAGAACATGTTAAGGTGAAGGTCTTAGATGTTCCTGGACCTCCAGGCCCAGTTGAAGCCAGTAACATTTCAGCCGAAAAGTGTACCCTGACCTGGCTTCCACCAGAGGAGGATGGAGGCTCTACTATCAAATCCTACATCCTTGAGAAGAGAGAAACCAGCCGGCTACAGTGGACCAAGCTAGCTGAAAATGTCATGGATTGCAGACACGTAGTCAGCAAACTGATTAAAGGCAATGAATACATTTTCAGAGTGTCTGCTGTGAACCAGTATGGCACAGGAGATTCAACCCAGTCTGCTCCAGTCAAAATGGTTGATAGTTTCTGTAAGTTTATATTTTTTATGTGGTTTATATCTGTGTATTAATAATTAAACAATAAAAGCAACTTAGCTATAGGATCTTGCAGATCCTTTAAAATAAAAATATAGCTAATAGACATGTCTAATAGTAGTATACAAATCCAGAAAAAAAATTTTTTACATATACTATTATATATTGTACACATATTTATTCGTTTCAGATTTAGCCATTCATATATTTTGCCTGTTTATGTTATTGTATTTTGCACAACTCTGTTGCTTGTGAAGCTCGCACACAAGAATTTCACTCGCATGTGCTGTACCAATGTACCTGCACATGTGATGTGACAATAAAAGTGATTTGATTTGATTTGATTTGATTTGTCCTTCCTGTTTCTGTTTCCCCAGCACCACCAGGTCCGCCCTCAATCCCAGAGATTGATAATGTTAGTAGGAGTGCTGTCACCATTTCATGGAAGAGACCAGTACGAGATGGGGGAAGTGACATTAGGGGATACTGTGTTGAGAGGAAAGAGAGAAAAGGACTGAGATGGGTCAGAGCCTGTAAGCGGACTATCCCTGACCTGCGGTTTAAGGTGCAAGGCCTGAGTGAGGGAGTAGAGTACGAGTTTAGAGTCACTGCTGAGAACAAGGCTGGATTTGGGGAGCCAAGTGAACCATCGCGCCCTGTCATGACAAAAGATATTGTGTGTAAGTAAAACTCACAGCAATGTTCTCACGGCAATGTGAGTTGTATTTTAAAACTGTAAAACTGCAATGCAGGAGAGTTAGAAAATACAAATCAAGCTTTGTCAAATACATAATTACCTATATTAACTTTGTTACCATATTTTGTTTTTGTGTTTATTAGATCCACCCGGTCCCCCATCCAACCCTAGAATTACAGAAACCACCAAAACCTCAGCCACATTCACCTGGGGCCGACCCCACTATGATGGTGGTCTTGAAGTAGAGGGCTACATTGTTGAATATAAAAAGGAAGGACATGATGATTGGGAGACAGAGACACAGTACCCACTGAAAGCTTCAGAATACGTGATTGGTAAACTACAAAAAGGAGGCAAATACCACTTCAGGGTTAGTGCTGTAAACTCTGAGGGAATAGGCGAGCCTGCAGAGGTTGAGAAAGTGACTGAATTGGTGGACCAGGAGATGTTGCCAGACTTTGAGCTGGATGCTGAACTCAGAAGAACTCTGGTAGTTAGAGTTCGTGCTTCAATCCGTATGTTTGTTCCTATCAAGGGCCGTCCTGTCCCTGAAGTCACATGGAGTAAAGATGACACTAACCTGAAAACACGTGCACATATTGACAACACAGAGTCGTACACTCTTCTGGTTATTCCTGACTGCACAAGATATGATGCTGGAAAATACCACCTTTCTCTAGAGAATGTTGCTGGAAAGAAGACTGGGTTTGTTAATGTGAAAGTTCTGGATACACCGGGACCACCAGTCAATCTCAAACCTAGAGAGATCACGAAGAACAGCATCACCCTACAGTGGGAAATTCCCATTATTGACGGTGGTTCTAAGATTCGTAACTACATTATTGAGAAAAGAGCAGCCACTAAGAAGGCCTACACAGTGCTTAGCACCACATGGCAGAAGTGTTCCTTCAAGATTCCAGACCTCAAGGAGGGAGCTTACTACTATTTCCGTGTCTCAGCTGAGAATGACCTGGGTGTGGGTGAGCCAGCTGAAACCCCAGAGCCAATCAGGGTATCCCAGGCCCCCTCTGCCCCAGAAAATTTGTATGTCACCGATGTTACCTCTGATAGTGCCAGCCTTGCATGGACCAAGCCTTTGCATGATGGTGGCAGCTTGATCACTGGGTATGTCATTGAGGCTCAAAAGAAGGACACTGATCAGTGGGTCCATGTGGCCACCATTAAGGCTCTGGATTATACTGTTACAGATCTAATTGAGGGTGCTGAATATACCTTCCGTATAATGGCAGTCAATGCATCAGGCAGGAGTGATCCCCGTGAGAGCAGACCAGCTGTTATCAAAGAGCAGACTTCTGCTCCTTCATTTGACCTGCGTGGGGTCTACCAGAAAACGATCATTGCTAAGGCAGGAGATCGGTTGAAGGTGGAGATTCCAGTGTTGGGCAAACCAAGGCCTGTGGTTTCATGGAAGAAAGGAGATACAGTGCTCAAGGAGACACAAAGACTCAACATTGAAACCACACCAACATCAACTATTCTCAACATCAATGAGATAAAAAAGAAAGATGGAGGCCAGTATTCTATGACTGGTAAAAACATGCTGGGGGCAATGACAGAGACAATCACAATCCTGGTTCATGACATTCCTGGACCTCCAACTGGTCCTATTAAGCTGGAAGAAATTTCATGTGATTATGTGCTGATGTCCTGGGACCCACCAGAAAATGATGGAGGTGTTCCTATTAACAACTATATTGTTGAGATGCGGGAGACCACTGGTACTTCATGGGTAGAGCTGGCAGCTACAGTCATCCGCACCACATTTAAGGCAGCCAGACTTACTACAGGAACTCAGTATCAGTTCCGCATCAAGGCCCAGAACAGATATGGGATTGGACCAAGCATTATCTCTGAACCAGTGGTAGCTGTCTATCCATTTGATGTACCAAGCCAGCCTGGCACTCCCGTGGTCACCTCTTTCAACAAGGATGCTATGACCCTTAGTTGGAATGAGCCATCCTCTGATGGAGGTAGTGCCATTCTGGGCTATCATGTGGAAAGGAAAGAGAAAAACAGTATTCTGTGGCAGAGGATCAGCAAAGCCCTTGTTGTTGGAAATCTGTTTAAATCAACGGGCCTTATTGATGGAATTGCATATGAACACCGTGTTATTGCTGAAAATATGGCTGGTCTCAGCAAAGCCAGCAAACCCTCTGAGCCCATGTATGCTTTGGACCCAGTTGATCCACCAGGCAGGCCAGTAGCACTAAATATTACTAGGCATGAAGTGACCTTGTCATGGACCAAGCCAGAGGGAGATGGAGGATTTTCTATTACTGGATACACTGTAGAGAGGAGGGAGATGCCCAATGGACGTTGGCTCAAAGCAAACTTCAACAACATTCTGGAAACTATCTACACAGTCAGTGGTCTAACTGAAGATGCAACCTATGAATTCCGTGTGTTTGCTAGGAACTCAGCTGGTGCTGTTAGTGCTCCATCCCAGTCATCTGAAGCAATCTTGTGCAGAGATGACATTGAAGAGCCCCGGCTTGATGTAGATGCATCATATAGCAGCACTGTTGTTGTCATGGCAGGAGAGGTATTCAAGCTGGAAGCCAGTGTAACTGGAAGGCCCATCCCATCTCTGGTATGGACCAAAGAAGGAAAGGAGCTTGAGGATACAGCCAAAATTGAGATAAAAACATCCGAGTTCCACACAACTTTAACAAACAAAGATTCGCTCAGGAGGGATGGTGGTGCTTTCACTTTGATTGCCAGCAATCCTGGTGGCTTTGCTAAGTTCATATACAATGTCAAGGTGTTAGATAGACCAGGACCTCCCAACTCCCTCACTGTAACAGATGTCACTGCTGAGAAATGTGTCCTTAATTGGCTCCATCCAACACATGATGGTGGTGCCAAGATTGAGTACTTTATCATTCAGAGACGAGAGACCAGCAGATTGGCTTGGACAAATGTGGCCACAGACCTTCAAGCTAATAGGTTCAAGGTCACCAAGCTTCTAAAGGGCAATGAATACATTTTCAGAGTTATGGCTGTTAACAAGTATGGTGTGGGTGAACCTGTGGAGTCGGAACCTGTCATCTGTGCCAACCCCTATGTACCCAGTGACCCACCACAGCAGCCTGAAGTCACCATAATCACCAAGGACTCTATGGTTGTCTGCTGGGATCGCCCTGAACATGATGGTGGCAGTAGAATAAACACATACATAATTGAAAGACGGGACAAAACTGGCCTGCGCTGGGTGAAGTGCAACAAGAGGACTGTAACTGACTTGCGATTCAAAGTCTCAGGCCTCACACCAGGGCATGAATATGAATTCAGAGTTCTTGCTGAGAATAATGCTGGGCTAAGTCAGCCCAGTCCTTCCAGTCCATTCTACAAAGCCATTGACACCATCTTCCAACCTGGACCTCCAGGGAACCCCAGAGTGCTGGACACAACCAAGTCTTCTATCACACTTGCATGGAACAAGCCTGTCTATGATGGTGGTTCAGAAATCACTGGTTACATAGTGGAGACCTGCCTGCCTGAGGAGGATGAATGGACAATTCACACTCCCAAGAATGGTTGGACTGCCACTTCTTTCACCATCACCAATTTGAGGGAAAACCAAGAGTATAAAATCAATATTTCTGCAACTAATTGTGAAGGAGTGGGAGAGCCTGCAGCTGTTCCTGGAACACCCAAGTCTGAAGACAGACTAGTTCCTCCAGAAATTGAACTTGGAGCAGAACTACGTAAGGTGGTCTGCATCAGAGCCTGCAGCACACTCAGACTTTTTGTCCCTATCAAGGGAAGACCAGCACCTGAAATAAAATGGTCTAGAGAGCATGGGGAATCTCTAGATAAAGCTAACATTGAAATCACCTCATCATTCACCACTCTTCAGGTAGAGAATGTTGACAGATTTGATGGGGGTAAATACATTGTGACTGTAGAGAATGCCTCAGGAAGTAAGACAGCCTTTGTTAATGTCAGAGTGCTAGACAGTCCTGGAGCACCTCAGAATCTGATTGTCAGGGAGGTCACTAGAGATTCAGTTTCTCTTGCTTGGGATGCTCCTGTCATTGATGGTGGTTCCAGAGTCCGCAATTACATCGTGGAGAAGCGTGAATCAACCAGAAAGGCTTATTCAACTGTGTGTGCCAGCTGCCATAAGTCAAGTTGGAAAGTTGGAGACCTAGAGGAGGGAAAGATGTACTTCTTTAGAATTTTGGCTGAGAATGAATATGGCATTGGCCTCCCAGTAGAGACTCTTGAACCAATTAAAGCATCAGAGAGGCCTCTTCCCCCAGGCAAAGTGTCTCTCCGTGAAGTTACCAGCAAAAGTGTCACATTAAGTTGGGAAAAGCCTGACCATGACGGTGGAAGCAGAATCACTGGCTATATAGTTGAGATGCAGGGAAAAGGCAGTGAGAAGTGGACCCAGGTTATGGTTGTAAAAAGCAATGAAGCTCATGTTACTGGCCTTACACAGGGAGAGGAGTATACATTCCGTATTTCAGCCATTAATGAAAAGGGAGTCAGTGACCCCCGCCCTCTCAATGTGCCTGTGGTTGCCAAGGATCTGGTCATCTCACCAACCTTCAAACTTCTTTTCAGCACATTTAGTGTGCTAGCAGGGGATGATCTGAAAATAGATGTACCATATGCTGCCCATCCCAAGGCTACAGCAACTTGGCTCAAAGATGGTGTTGCTCTCAAAGAGACGACAAGAGTGAATGCAGATGCCACAGACAAAAATCTTCTCCTGGTTATTAAGGAGGCTTGCAAAGATGATGTGGGAACATATACTGTCAAACTTACTAACACAGCTGGAGAGGCATCTACAGATATCAGTGTTATTGTTTTAGATAAGCCTGGCCCTCCAACTGGCCCAATTAAGCTAGATGAGGTCACTGCTGATAGCGTGATCCTGTCCTGGGATCCACCTCAGTATGATGGCGGTTGTGCCATCAATAATTACATCGTTGAGAAGAGAGACACATCTACCACTAACTGGCAGATTGTGTCAGCTACAGTAGCCAGAACCACTATCAAGGCAGCACGTCTGAAAACTGGATCTGAGTACCAATTCAGGATTGCTGCAGAGAACAGATATGGCAAATCTTCAGCCCTGTTATCTGATACTATTGTTGCTCAGTATCCTTTTGAGGTTCCTAGTTCACCACGTTCTGTTACTGTTCAGTCAACCACCAAGGAAAGTATGGTGGTTGTATGGGAAAAACCCAGCAATGATGGTGGAAGCAAGATTTTGGGATACCATTTAGAGCTAAAAGAGAGAAACAATATATTGTGGGTGAAACAGAACAAACAACTTGTCCCAGAAACTAGATTCAAGGTTATTGGCCTGGAGGAGGGTATTGAATATGAGTTCAGAGTTTATGCTGAGAACATTGTTGGCCTCAGCAAAGCCAGCAAAGTGAGTGAAATACAAGTTGCCCGAGATCCTTGTGACAGACCAGGAAAACCAGAAGCTGTCATTGTAACACGAAACCAAGTGACACTAAGATGGACAAAACCCCAATATGATGGTGGAATCAAGATCACAGGTTATGTTATTGAGAAGAAGGAGGGAGCTGGTCGCTGGATGAAGGCCAGTTTCACTAACATCACTGAAACAGAATTTGTTGTCACAGGACTTATTGAGAATCAGACTTATGAATTCCGTGTCATTGCCAAAAATGCAGCAGGTGTTTTTAGCCAGCCATCTGATTCTACTGGAGCAATCACTGCCAAGGATGAGGTGGATCCACCCAAAATTGACTTGGAAGCTAAATACTCCCAAACTGTGGTAGTTAATGCTGGAGAGACATTTAAACTTGAGGCTGCTGTTTACGGTAAACCTGTACCCACAATTCATTGGCTGAAAGAGGGCCAGGAGATCACCGAAGCAGCTCGCTTAGAGCTTAAGAACACAGATTTTACAGCTTGTCTTGTTGTTAAAGAAGCCATCCGTGTTGATGGAGGTCAGTACATACTTCTAGTAAAGAATGTTGGAGGAGAGAAATCTGTTAACATTAATGTTAAGGTTTTAGATAGACCTGGTGCACCCGAAGGCCCTATATCCATTTATGGTGTCACTAATGAAAAATGCTCAATTTCCTGGAAACCTCCCTTGCAAGATGGAGGAAGTGATGTTTCCAATTATATTGTTGAGAGGAGGGAAACCAGCAGATTGGTTTGGACTGTAGTTGAACCAAAAGTTCAGACACTGAACTTGAAGATCACCAAATTACTTCCTGGTAATGAATATATTTTCAGAGTGATTCCTGTTAACAAATATGGAGTTGGAGAGCCACTGGAATCTGAGCCAATGGTTGCCAGGAATCCATTTGTCACTCCCAACCCACCAACAAATGTGGAAGTTTCCACAATAACCAAAGACTCTATGGTGGTGACCTGGGAGAGACCAACTAATGATGGTGGCAGCCCAATCCAGGGATACATTGTTGAGAAACGTGACAAGGATGGTGTACGATGGACTAGATGCAACAAGCGCAATATTAGTGAGCTGCGCTTTAGAGTTACCGGGCTTCTTGAAAACCATAGCTATGAATTCAGAGTTGCTGCTGAGAATGCTGCAGGTGTTGGCATGCCTAGTGCACCAACAGTGTACTACAAAGCACTGGATCCTGTCTTCAAACCAGGTCCACCAAACAACCCCAAGGTGGTAGACACATCTAGATCCACTGTTTCCCTAACATGGGGCAAACCCATCTATGACGGTGGCTGCGAGGTTCAGTCTTACATTGTAGAGACATGTAATGGTGCATCTGATGAGTGGTTTATGTGTACTCCACCAACTGGAATCATGGACACAAAATATACTGTGAAAAAACTTCTGGAAAAGCATGAGTACCAATTTAGAGTGTGTGCAATCAACAAGGTTGGTGTTGGTGAGCATGCTGATGTTCCTGGAAAAATTCTTTTGGAGGAGAAACTTGAAACACCTGATCTTGATCTTGATGCAGATATGAGAAAGATGATCAACATCAGAGCAGCGAGTACGCTCAGATTGTTTGTTCCTGTAAGGGGTCGTCCAGCTCCAGAGGTGAAATGGGGCAAGGCTGATGGTGAGATTAAGGAGACTGCTCAGATTGACAATACAGGCAGCTATGCATCACTTGTCATTGAGAATGTTGACAGATTTGATAGTGGCAAGTACACCCTGACTGCTGAGAATGCTAGTGGAGTAAAATCAGTCTTCATAAGTGTCAGAGTGCTGGACTCCCCTAGTCCACCAACTAACTTCGTGGTGAAAGAGATTACCAAGAATTCTGTCACTCTCACATGGGAGCCTCCACATCTGGATGGTGGCTCAAAGATTAAGCACTATATTGTTGAAAAGCGTGAGAGCACCAGGAAAGTGTACTCTCCCATCACGACATGCAACAAGATGTCATGGAAAGTTGAACCTCTTCCAGAGGGTGGAATCTTTTTCTTTAGAGTATTGGCTGAGAATGAATATGGTGTGGGTCTCCCTGCTAAAACTATAGAACCAGTTAAGATATCTGAGAAACCTCAGCCACCTGGCAAGGTCAGTGTTGTTGATGTTACTCACAGCACTGTAACTTTAACTTGGGAAAAGCCTCTGCATGACGGTGGTAGTAGGATCACCCACTATGAAATTGAACTAGCTCCCAAGGACAGTGAAGCTTGGTCTATATGTGCTAGTGTGAAAGCACTGGAAACATTAGTGACAAACCTTCTCAAGGGAGAGGAGTACCAGTTCAGAGTTGTTGCTGTAAATGACAAGGGCAAAAGTGACCCACGACAGTTGGCTCATTCTGTTGTAGCAAAGGACCTTGTTATTGAACCTGCTGTTAGACCCAAGGCAAGTTCTTACAGTGTCCAGGTGGGGTATGACCTCAAGTTAGAGGTCCCGGTCGCTGGTCACCCTAAACCAATTATCACCTGGACCAAAGATGGCATAGCCCTTAAGCAGACTACCAGAGTCAATGTCACCGACTCAGCACAAACTACCACTCTTACCATAAAGGATGCTACCAGAGAAGATGGAGGTATGTACACTATCAGTGTCTCCAATGACCTTGGTTCAAAGGATGCCACTGTAGAGGTGATCACCTTGGACAAACCAGGCCCACCCACAGGCCCTGTAAAGTTGGAGGATATCAGTGCTGAGAGCATCACCCTCAACTGGGAACCTCCTACATACACAGGTGGTTGTCCAATCTCAAACTATGTGGTGGAGAAGAGAGACACAACCACAACAAACTGGTCGGTTGTGTCTGCCACTGTGGCTAGAACCACTCTAAAAGTCAGCAATCTGAAGACAGGCACTGAGTACCAGTTCAGAATTTATGCTGAAAATAGATATGGAAAGAGCTATGCAATTGATTCACAGCCTGTTGTGGCACAGTATCCATTCCAGGAGCCAGGACCACCAGGAACACCATTTGTTTCTTCACACACTAAAGACTACATGGTAGTTGAGTGGCATAAACCCCCAAGTGATGGTGGCAGTGCCATCTTGGGCTACCATCTGGAAAGAAAAGAAAGGAACAGTATCCTCTGGACAAAGATAAACAAAATGCTCATCCAAGATTGTAGATTCAAATCTACTCCACTCGAAGAAGGCATTGAGTATGAGTATAGAGTCTATGCAGAGAACATTGTTGGCATTGGTGAATGTAGCAAAGTGTCTGAGGTTTATGTTGCCCGTGATCCATGTGATCCTCCTAGCCGTCCTGAGGCTGTGATTGTGACCAGGCACTCAGTGAAACTCAAGTGGAACCCCCCGGCGTACGATGGTGGGAGTTTAGTTACAGGTTATCTAGTAGAGAAACGTGATCTTCCGGAAGGAAAATGGATGAAGGCTAGCTTCACAAACATCATTGAACACAAATTCACAGTTACTGGCCTCACAGAAGATAGCAAATATGACTTCAGAGTAATTGCAAAGAATGCTGCAGGTGCCGTTAGCAAGCCCTCTGAGAGCACAGGATCCATAACTGCTAAGGATGAAGTTGTCCCACCTAAGAGTGAGACAGATCCTATGTACAACCAGACCATTGTTATAAATGCAGGAGAGACATTCAATCTTGAGGCCAGTGTGGAAGGAAAGCCTATTCCAACTGCTCAGTGGTTCAAGGGGAATCTTGAAGTTGAAAACTCAGCAAGAGCGGAGATCAGAAACACAGATTTTAAAGCTTTGCTTGTTGTAAAGGATGCTATCAGAGTTGATGGTGGACAGTATACTCTGGTTCTCACAAATGTGGCAGGAAGTAAGACTATCCCCTTCAGTGTGAAGGTTCTGGACAGACCAGGGCCTTCAGAAGGACCTCTTACTATCAGCAATGTTACTGAGGAAAAATGCTCACTGTCGTGGCTGCCACCCAGGCATGACGGAGGTGCCAGCATTTCTCACTACATCATTCAGAAAAGAGAAACTAGCCGCTTGGCATGGACTGTGGTCTGCAGTGATTGTAAAGCTACCATGTTTAAAGTTACAAAACTACTGAAGGGAAATGAGTACATCTTCAGAGTCATGGCTGTCAACAAATATGGCACAGGTGAGCCGCTTGAATCAGCACCAGTTATCATGAGAAATCCATTTGTTCCACCTGGAGCACCTCAGGATCTTGAGATCACAAATATCACCAGGGATTCTATGACTGTATGTTGGAACCGTCCTGAGACATCAGGAGGCAGTGACATTGTTGGCTACATTGTTGAGAAGAGAGACAGAGCAGGAGTGAGGTGGACCAAGTGCAACAAACGCAGAGTGACAGACTTGCGTTTCAGAGTAACAGGACTGACTGAGGACCATGAATATGAATTCAGGATATCTGCTGAGAATGCAGCTGGAGTGGGCCAGCCAAGTCCATCGACAACCTATCTTAAAGCATGTGACCCCACCTTCGAGCCAGGCTGTCCCACCAATGTCCATGTGGTAGACACTACTAGAGACTCCATTAGTCTGGCTTGGCACAGACCTATCTATGATGGTGGCTGTGAGATTCAAGGCTACGCTGTGGAAATAACCAAGGCTGATGAGGAGGAATGGGCCATATGCACCCCACCTTGTGGAGTCAATGCTACCAAGTTTACTATCAAAAAGTTGATTGAACACCAAGAATACAAAGTCCGCATTTGTGCCATCAACAAGGTGGGTGTTGGTGAGCCCACTGAGATTCAGGGAGTCGTCAAACCTGTGGATAAGATTGACCCTCCAGAAGTGATTCTGGATTCAGAGCTCAGGAAGGGAATAGTTGTCCGTGCAGGAGGCTCGATGAGAGTCTGCATTCCATTCAAAGGCCGTCCTACTCCTGAGATAAACTGGGCCAAAGAGGATGGAGAGTTACCCAGTAAAGTTCAAGTTGAGACTGGTGAAGATTACACACAGCTCTCAATTGAAATCTGTGACAAATATGATGCTGGAAAGTACGTGCTCAATTTAGAAAATAGTGCTGGCACCAAATCAGCTTTTGTTTCCGTTAAGGTGCTAGACACTCCAGGGGCTCCTTTAAACCTAACAGTAAGAGATATCAAGAGGGAAAGTGTGACTCTGACCTGGGAGCCTCCTCTTATTGATGGTGGTGCAAGAATCAAGAATTACCTTGTTGAAAAGAGGGAGTCCACAAGGAAGGTTTACTCTAATGTGGACAACAAGTGCACAAAGACAAGCTATCGTATAACTGGCCTGACAGAGGGAACTATATATTATTTCAGAGTCTTAGCAGAGAATGAGTTTGGTGTGGGACAGCCAGCTGAGACAGAAGAATCAGTAAAAACATCTGAGCCCCCCCTGCCTGTGGGTAAGGTCACATTGACCGAAGTGACAAAAACAACTGCTTCACTCTCCTGGGAGAAGCCAGATCATGATGGAGGTAGCAGAATCATTGGTTACTACATTGAGATGCAGCCTGTGGGCTCAGAGGAATGGGTGGTAGCTGCCACATGCAAAACTTGTGAAGGCACTGTCACAGGCCTCAGTGCAGGACATGAGTACCTATTTAGAATCTTAGCCTTCAATGAGAAGGGCAAGAGTGACCCTAGACCTTTGGCTGCGCCAGTCACTGCTAAAGATATAACCATTGAACCCAAATTCAAGATTCAATTTAACACTTATAGTTTACAGCACGGTGAGGATTTGAAGATTGAGATTCCAGTGATTGGACGACCTGTTCCCAAGGTTGAATGGAAGAAGGATGGACAAGCTCTTAAAGAGACAACAAGAATTAATGTTTCCAGCACATTGTCATGCACTAAGCTGTACATCAAAGATGCAAATAAGGAGGACTCTGGCAAATACACTGTCACAGCCACCAGTAGCATTGGAGCAGCGACAGAGGAGATTACTGTTATTATTCTTGATAAGCCTGGGCCACCCACGGGCCCTGTAAAGATAGAAGAGGTGAGCTCTAATTATGTCACTCTCTCTTGGGAGCCACCAGAGTATACCGGAGGCTGTCCCATCAATAATTACATCGTGGAGAAGAGAGATACTACCACCACAGCATGGCAGATTGTTTCTGCTACTATTGCCAGGACAACCATCAAAGTCACCAAGTTGAAGACTGGTGTTGAATATCAATTCAGAGTGTCAGCTGAAAATAGATACGGGAAGAGTTCTGCAATTGTCTCTCCTGCTGTTATTGCTCAGTATCCATTTAGTGAGCCTGTGGCCCCAGGAACACCAGTCATTTCTTCTGTAACCAAGGATAGCATGGTCGTTGAGTGGAAACCTCCTACCAACAATGGGGGCAGTCCAATTCTTGGCTATCACCTTGAGAGAAAAGAAAAGAATAGCCTCTTGTGGACTAAATTAAACAAGCTTCTAATCCCAGACACACGTTTCAGAACTACAGAACTTGAAGAAGGTATTGAGTATGAATTCAGGGTTTATGCTGAAAACATTGCTGGTCTCAGCCCAGCTAGCAAGCTGTCTGAGAGCACAGTAGCAAGGGACCCTTGTGACTCACCAGGAACTCCTGAGCCTATTGAAATCACCAGAAACCATGTGACACTCCAGTGGACCAAGCCCCAGTATGATGGAGGGAGTGCAATTACTGGCTATGTGATTGAGAGAAGGAAGCACCCAGACACCCGCTGGATGAAGGCCAGCTTCACTAACATCATTGATACACAATTTACACTTACTGGTCTGACTGAAGACTGTGTGTATGAGTTCAGGGTCATTGCCAGAAATGGTGCTGGGATTTTGAGCCAACCCTCTCAGAGCACAGGGGAAATTACTGCCAAAGATGAAATTGAGGCTCCAGCAGCCACCATGGATTCGAAATTCAAGGATATGACTATTGTTCACGCAGGTGAGACATTTGTCATTGATGCTGACTATACTGGAAAACCTTTGCCTGAGGTCATTTGGTTAAAGGATGGAAAAGAGATTGACAAAGCCACACCAAGAATGGAAATCAAGACTACCCTCACACGTACCATCCTGACAGTCAAGGATTGCATCAGAGTGGATGGTGGCCACTTTGTCCTCAAGCTTATTAATGTGGGAGGAGTCAAGATGATCCCAGTTAATGTCAAAGTTCTGGATAGACCTGGGCCTCCAGATGGACCTCTAGAAGTCAAAGGGGTCACAGCTGAGAAATGTTATCTGCATTGGAATCATCCCTCACATGACGGAGGAGCTGGCATCTCTCACTATATCATTGAGAAGAGAGAGACTAGTCGTTTGTCATGGACTATGGTTGAGCCCAGGATTCAGGCAATCAGCCACAAAATCACAAAACTATTGCCTGGCAATGAATATATCTTTCGAGTTACTGCTGTAAATAAATATGGTGTTGGCGAGCCTTTAGAATCAGAAGCTGTTGTTGCTCGTAACCCTTTCACCACTCCCAGTGCCCCCTCAAACCTTGAGGTCGGTGCCATCACTAGGGACTCCATGGTGCTTTCCTGGGAGAGGCCCAATGATAATGGAGGTGCAGAGATTGAGGGATATGTCCTTGAAAAACGTGATAAAGATGGTATCAGATGGAGTAAATGCAACAAGAAGAGGCTGAATGACCTGCGATTCAGATGCACTGGTCTCACAGAGGGCCACTCATATGAATTCAGAGTTTCGGCTGAAAATGCTGCTGGTGTAGGAAAGCCTAGTGCACCAACTCCGTACATCAAGGCCTGTGATGCCACTTATCCACCTGGACCCCCAAATAATCCAAAGGTCACTGACCATTCAAGTACCACAGTTTCCCTTTCATGGTCCAGGCCTATATATGATGGTGGTGCACAGATCACTGGGTATATTATTGAAATGAAAGAGGCAACAGATGATGAATGGATCATTAGCACACCACACACTGGCGTCCAAGCCACTAACTACACAGTAAAGAAACTTAAGGAGAATGCGGAATACAACTTCCGCATAAGTGCTGTTAATTGTGAGGGAGTAGGAGAACATGTAGATTTGCCTTGTTCTGTGATTGCTGCAGAGAAGCTGGAGGCTCCTGAAATTGAACTAGATTGTGACCTAAGAAAGATGGTCAACGTCCGTGCCTCTGCTACCTTGCGTCTGTTTGTGACAACCAGAGGGAAGCCTGAGCCTGAAGTCAGATGGTCAAAGGCTGATGGCACTCTAAATGAACATGCCCAGATAGAAGTCACAAGCTCTTACACAATGCTGGTGATTGAGAATGTTGACAGATTTGACACTGGCAAATATGTGCTGACCCTTGAAAACCTCAGTGGCTCTAAATCAGCCTTTATCAACGTCAGAGTTCTGGATTCTCCTAGTGCTCCTACTAACCTCGGAGTTAAGGATGTTAAAAGAAATTCTGTCTCTCTCTCCTGGGAGCCTCCTCTAATTGATGGTGGGGCTAAGATATCACATTATATAGTGGAGAAGAGAGAACAGAAGAGAATGGCTTTCACCAGTGTTTGCACTAACTGCGTCAGAAACTCCTACATTATTTCAGACCTGCAGGAAGGAGGCCGATACTATTTCCGTGTGTTAGCTGTGAATGAACTCGGAGTAGGTCTGCCTGCATCCACAGATCAAGTTAAGGTGTCTGAGCCTCCTCTGCCTCCTGGTAAGATTGTGGTTGTTGACATTACTCGTCATGCTGTTACACTCTCTTGGGAGAAACCTGATCATGATGGAGGCAGTAAGATTACAAACTATATTGTGGAGATGCAGCCCAAGGGAGATGACAAATGGACGGTGTGCAGTGAAGTCAAAGCACTTGAAGCTACCATTGATGGACTCACAACTGGAGAAGAATACTCCTTCAGGGTAACTGCTGTGAATGATAAGGGTAGAAGCGATGCTAAGCCTCTGGCTACTCCTGTGGTGGTAAGGGACATCACGATGGAGCCCATCATCAACCTGTTATTCACCACATACAGTGTAAAAGCAGGAGATGATTTGAAGATTGACGTTCCCTTCAAAAGCAGACCACAGCCTGAGGTGTGCTGGAAGAAGGATGGCCAAGTGCTTAAGCAGACAACCAGGGTAAATGTTCTCAATTCAAAAACCTCATCTAAGATTGTCATCAAGGATGCCACGAAGGAGGATGTAGGGAAGTATGTGATTACCCTGACTAACTCAGTTGGTACCAAGTCAGCTGAAATCTCTGTTATAATCCTGGATAAACCTGGACCACCTAGTAACATTAAGGTTGATGAGGTGAGCGCTGACTTTATTTCTCTGTCATGGGATCCTCCAACCTATGATGGTGGTTGTCAGATTAACAACTATGTAGTTGAGAAGAGAGACACTACTACTACAACATGGCAAATCGTGTCAGCCACAGTGGCCAGAACATCAATTAAGGTTTCTCGACTTACTCAGGGGACAGAGTACCAGTTCCGCATTGCAGCTGAGAACCGTTATGGGAAGAGTCCTGCCATAGATTCTGCTCCTGTTGTTGCTCAGTATCCATTTGAGCCTCCTGGCCCTCCAACCCAACTTCATGTTGTCCATGCCACCAAAACTGGGATGCTCGTGGTATGGGGCAGACCTGCAAGTGATGGTGGAAGTCCTGTTATTGGTTATCACATTGAAAGCAAAGACCAAAGCAGCATCTTGTGGACCAAGGTCAACAGAGGTCTGGTGACTGAGAACCAGTTTAAGATGACAGGAATGGAAGAAGGTCTGTTGTATCAGTTCAGAGTGTATGCTGAGAATATTGCTGGAATTGGTCCATGCACTAGGGCAAGTGACCCTGTGGCAGCCAGGGATCCATGTGAATCTCCACATAACCTTAGAGTCACAAACATCACTAGAAATTCAGTTTCTCTTTTTTGGGAAAGACCTGAATATGATGGCAGTGCAAAAATTACTGGCTACATTGTTGAGCGTCAAGAGCTTCCCACTGGTCGCTGGCTGAAATGCAACTTCACCAATGTTCAAGACACTTACTTCGATGTCACTGGTCTCACAGAAGATGTCCGATATGATTTCCGTGTTATTGCTAAAAATTCTGCAGAGCAATTGAGTGCTCCTTCAGAAAGCACTGGACCCGTCACTGTCAAAGATGATGTAGATCCTCCCACCATTATACTGGAAGATAAATTCAGACAGTTGGTTGTCATTAAGGCTGGAGAAATCATTAGAATTGATGCCGAAATTACTGGGCGTCCACTCCCAGTTGTTTCATGGTCTAAGGATGGAAAGGAGATTGAGGCCAAGGCTAGATGTGAAATCACATCCACTAACTTCACAACCACGCTCATTGTCAAAGATGCTATCAGAAGGGACTCTGGACAGTATGTTCTTACTCTGCACAATGTAGCTGGAACCAGATCTGTGGCTATCAACTGTAAGGTTCTGGACAGACCTGGACCTGCATCAGGACCTTTAACAGTTTCTGGTCTCACAGCAGAGAAATGCACCCTGTCATGGGGACCACCTCAGGAAAATGGCGGTGCTGAAATTATGCACTACATTGTTGAGAAACGTGAGACCAGTCGTCTTGCCTGGACTCTTGTCTATGGTGACATGAAGGCAACTACCTGCAAAGTGACTAAACTGCTCAAAGGAAATGAGTACATCTTCCGAGTTAGGGGAGTCAACAAATATGGAGATGGTGAAAGCCTGGAGAGTGAGCCAACAAAGGCCACTGATCCATTCACTGTCCCTTCAGCTCCCACTAATGTCCAGGTCACCTCTGTTACAAGTGAGGCAATGACCATTTGCTGGGAAAGACCTGTTTCTGATGGTGGCAGCAGTATTGCTGGCTATGTAATTGAGAAGCGAGAGAAGACTGGCCTCCGCTGGTGCCGTGTCAACAAGAAACCTGTTTATGACCTTAGAGTGAAAGCTTCACACCTTCGCGAGGGCTGTGAGTACGAATACAGAGTTTTTGCAGAGAATACTGCTGGCCTCAGTGCTCCTAGCACTCCTTGCCCACTCACCAGGGCAGAAGACCCACAGTTTTTACCCTCACCTCCAGCTAAGCCTAGGATAATTGACTCCACAAAGACTACAGTCACCCTGTCATGGAATAAGCCACTTTTTGATGGTGGAGCACCTGTGACTGGTTACAGAGTAGAATACAGGAAGACATTAGATGATGAATGGATTGTTGGAGTACAGAACACCAAAAACACAGAATTTACAGTGGTGGGATTATCACCTGGAACTGAATATGTGTTTGTCGTCAAATCCATTAACAAGATTGGAGTGAGTGAGCCCAGTCCTGAGTCAGACAAACAAGTTGCCAAAGAAAGAGAGGAGGAGCCAACCTTTGATGTTGGCAATGAAATGAGAAAGACTCTTATTGTAAAGGATGGAAGCTCTTTCACAATGAAAGTTCCTTTCAAAGGCAAACCCATCCCTAGTGTTACTTGGGCTAAGCCTGATGTAGACCTTAGAGTTCGCGCTGTAATTGACACCACAGATACCTTTACTTCCATCACCTTAGAAAAAGCAACTCGGAATGACTCTGGAAAATACACTGTCACTCTATCCAATGTAGCTGGTACCTCCTCCTTGACGCTCACTGTCCGTGTTTTGGACTCACCTGGGCCTCCTAGTCATATAGAGGTCAAGGAAGTCACAAAGACCTCTGCTACTATAACCTGGGATATTCCTGAGATTGAGGGAGGAGGACCAGTCAAGAATTACCTTATTGATTACCGTGAGGCTAGCAAGAAAGGCTGGACTAGATTGACTGACACATGCCACAGACTGACATACAAGGTGGCAGACCTGCAGGAGGGAGAAGTCTACTACTTCAGAGTGACAGGCGAGAATGAATATGGTATTGGTGTTCCTGCTGAGACCAAAGAGGGGACCAAGATCACAGGTATTAAATCCTGAGTTGGTATTTTTTTAATTTTTATAGAAAATATATATCAAAATTTGTTTTAATTGAAAGACATATTTTCTTTCTCCAGAAAAACCAAGTCCACCACCAAAACTGGGTGTAACGGATGTAACCAAGGAAAGTGTGTCCTTGGCTTGGGCCAAGCCAGAACATGATGGAGGCAGCAGAATTACTAGCTACCTAGTAGAAGCACTGGAGAATGGACAAGAGAAGTGGGTTAAATGTGGTACAACAAAGTCCATCCACTTCACAGTGTCTGGTCTGAGGGAGAATGCGGAGTACTTCTTCAGAGTCAGAGCTGAGAACTATGCTGGATTCAGTGATGCTAAGGAAATGATTACTCCTGTAGTGGTCAAAGACCAGCTTGGTAAACTACAAGCTTGTTATAATAATCAGAACATGCCATGCAATTAGTAGAGACTACACCTAATTTCTCCTGTTGTAACTCTTTTTGGTACTTTTCTGTTCTAGAATCTCCTGAGATCAACATGAAGGACTTCCCCCACAATACAGTATATGTTAGAGCTGGATCTACCCTAAAATGTGAGATTCCATTGACAGGCCGGCCTTTACCTAAAGTGACTCTGTCCAAGGATAATGTGCTGCTCAAATCAACAATGAGGTTTAACTCAGAAGTCACTCCTGACAGTATCAAGATTACTCTGCGTGAGAGCATTGCAGGAGACTCAGGCCGCTATGATATTATTGCCTCCAACTCCAGTGGAACCACCAAGTCCTTTGTAAATATTGTGGTTCTTGACCGCCCCAGTGTCCCACTTGGACCAGTGGAGCTGTATGATGTCACAGAAGACAGTGTAAGCTTAAAGTGGCTCCCACCAGCATATGATGGTGGCAGTCCCATCACCAACTACATCATCCAGAAGCGAGAGACAACTACAGCCAACTGGATGGACGTGTCGTCAGCTGTGGCCCGTTGCACCATAAAAATTATGAAGCTGACCACTGGCCTGGAGTACCAATTCAGAATTAGGGCAGAGAACAGATATGGAATCAGTGAACATATTGACTCCCCAGCTGTCGCTGTCAGTCTTCCTTACAGTAAGAAGTTTTTGCTTTTCTTATTATTATACATAAACATAATAATTTTGCTACTCATTCTTTACACCTTCACTATGTGAGCATGCCAAAATTCTCAAACTCTGCCTCTTGTTCTCCAGCTATACCAGATGCGCCATCAACTCCAGAAATTACTGCTGTAACCAGGGAAAGCATTACCGTTGCATGGAAGGAGCCAAAGTCAGATGGAGGCAGCCATGTGTTTGGTTACCATCTCCAAATGAAAGACAAAAACAGCATCCTTTGGCAGAGAGTCAACAAAACAGTGATCCGTGCCACACACTTTAAAGTCACCAACATAAATGCTGGACTTATTTATGAGTTCAAGGTAGCAGCAGAAAACTCTGCTGGAATTAGTGCCTTCAGCAAGATTTCTGATGCTGTATTGGCTATTGATGCCTGCGGTGAGTTTATAGTCGATAAAATGCATGAAGAATTCTTTAACTTAAGATTTTCTGCAATATTTATTAAAATCATTCTCACTGTATCTTCCTATAGAGCCACCCCTATACTTGCGTATAACTGACATCACTAAGAACTCCATTAGTCTGGCCTGGCAGAAGCCTGACTATGATGGTGGATCCCCAATAACTGGTTACATCCTTGAGAAGAGAGAGGGTGTTAGCCCCAAATGGTCTAAAGCTAACCTCACCAATATCACAGACACCCGCTTCATTGTTACTGGCCTCACCCAGGATGAAACATATGAGTTCCGAGTCATGGCAAAGAATGCAGTTGGTTCAGTGAGCAATCCGTCTATCACTGTGGGGCCAGCCACATGTGTGGACACTTATGGTAGGTCTTTTCATGTTGGGTTATATTTGTGTATTTTTTTCTGCAATTATGCATTGTCTTGTATTCTAAGATATTTATTCCACACCCTACATATTCTACATCCTGACTTGTTTTACCATCTCTGGTCCAGGTGCCCCAGAGATTGAAATACCTCAGGAGTATCTTAATGAGGTCAAGCACAAGGCTGGCTCTAATGTGGAACTCAAATTTAATATAAGAGCCAAACCTGCTCCCAGTATTGAGTGGTTTAAAGATGGCAGAGAGCTTAAGCCTACTTCTCAGCTCTCTTTTAAACACACTTTCGAGTCCACAAGTGTGTTCGTGAAGGAAACAACTCGTCTTAACTCTGGAACCTATGAAGTCAAGGTGAAGAACTCCCTCGGATCTTCATGTGCTATTGTCAGGCTGCTCATTCAAGGTATTAATTTAATATTTATTTTTCATTGTATAACATGTATCATATATGCAGTATACACCCTGAGTCAAATGTTTTCCTTGTCTAATCAGATAAGCCAGGCCCACCTGCTGGAGAGATTCAGTTTAAGAAGGTGACAGCTGACAACATCACCATCATGTGGTCACCACCTGCTGATGAAGGTGGTGCCATGGTAACACATTACATTGTAGAAAAGCGGGAGACCAGCAGGGTAATGTGGTCGATTGTCTCAGAGAAACTGGTTGACTGCATTGTGAATGTGCCCAGACTCATAATGGGCAATGAGTACATCTTTAGAGTCCGTGGAGTCAACAAGTATGGCATTGGAGAGCCACTGGAGTCTGAGCCCATTATTGCCAAGAATGCATTTGGTAAGCAAATAGAATAAAGTCACCTCATCATTCACCCCATATGTGACTGATGAGGTGTATCTCTCCCCCTCTCTCTCTTGCTCTCATGTTTGAAAATATATCAACTTTCATTATAGACAGTGGTAAATTACAATGATAAACTTAAAAGCTTTAACCTTATCGTTTTTATTTTGCACAGTACCTCCCAGCGAGCCATCTAAGCCTAAAGTTACTATGATCACTAAGTCTACCATGACAGTGATCTGGGAAAGACCAGCACTGGACGGAGGCAGTGATATTGATGGCTACTATCTAGAGAAAAGGGAGAAGAGGAGTCTGCAATGGTTCAAGGTTTGTTTGCTGCCCCAAATCTAAAAAGTTCAAGCATAAAGAAAATCTACCAATGAATAGGAGATGTTAGCTTTAATACATCCATTTTTTTTTATCAAGGTGGTGAAGGGCACTATCAGAGACACCAGGCAGAAAGTGGCTAACCTGGTGGAGAACAATGAGTACCAGTACAGAGTGTGTGCTGTCAACAAGGCTGGAGCAGGGAACTACTCTGAACCTTCTGAGCTCTATAAAGCCTATGACCCAATAGGTATATGACTTTAATTTGCAGTTATCCTCATCTCGTCAGCATTTGAGGAATTCCTTTATTGTTTACATTTTCCTTTTTTCTTCTCCAGATCTACCAGGTGAACCCACTAAGCTGCGTGTGGTTGACTCCACAAAGACATCTATCACACTTGGATGGGAGAAGCCCGTCTATGATGGTGGCAGCGAAATTACACACTATATTTTAGAGCAGATGAATACAGAGGAGAAAGAATGGGCGATTACCAACCCACAAGTCAAGACATGTGAGTATGTCGTGTCCCACCTCAAACCTGGCATCTACTACTTCTTCAGAGTATCTGCTGTCAACTGTAAAGGCAAAGGAGAAGACATCAAAATGTACCAGCCTGTGCAAGCCAAAGATATTTTAGGTTAGTATTGATATAGTTCCCTTTATAGTACAAGATATTAGTCTTGAGACGAATCACTAATAAAATCAAAATTAATATTCTTTTCCATCTTTGTATGACATTTGTGTCCAACAGAGGAGGCTGATCTGGACTTGGATGTTGCTATGACAACTCAATACACAGCAAAGGCTGGCCGTGATGTGGAAGTCTTTATCCCCCTGAAGGGTCGTCCTACACCAAATGTCACCTGGCGCCGTGGTGACCGTAACATGGCTGGTGATAACCGCTACACAGTCACAAGCACTGAAAGAGCTACCACACTCCTCATCCCCAAGGTCACCCGTGATGACTGTGGAAAGTATGTGCTGGAAATTGAGAATGGTGTTGGAGAACCTAAGATAGTTACTGTTTCCCTCAAGGTTCTGGACAGTCCATCCACCTGCCAGAAACTGATGATAAAGAATGTCACAAGAGGAAAGCTGACACTAAGCTGGGAGCCTCCGCTCATAGATGGTGGCTCCCCTGTGACTAATTACATTGTCGAAAAGAAGGCCTCCACTATGAAAGCTTATCAAGTGATTACTGATGAGTGTTTAAATACAAGTTACAAGGTGTCAGGGCTGGAGGAAGATATAGCTTACTTCTTCCGTGTGTCTGCTCAAAATGAGTTTGGTGTGGGTGACCCTTGTGAAACCACTGATGCTGTCCGAGCAACTGAAACTCCAGGAGCTGTTAAAGACCTAATAATGGTGGACTCCACAAAGAACTCTGTCACCCTTCAGTGGAGCAGACCTGACCACGATGGTGGCAGCCACATTACTGACTACATCATTGAGAAGAGAGCCCAGGATGAAGTCAAATGGACTTTAGCTGCTAAATCCAAGCGGTGCAGCTGTGAAGTGACGGGACTCAAGGAAAATGCTATCTTGGATTTCAGAGTGTTTGCAAAGAATGAGAAAGGCAACAGTGACTTCTCCCAAATTGGTCCGATCACAGTGATGGACCTCATCATTCCACCTGAAGCCAAACTGAATGATTATCCCAATGGAGAGCTTGCTGTTCGTATAGGTCAAAACATCCATATTGAGTTACCATTCAAGGGAAAACCAAGACCTACAATCAGCTGGCTAAAGGATAATTTCCCACTAAAGGAAAGTGAGAAGATTCGCTTTAGGACCACTGACAACAAGACTTCAGTTACAGTCAGAGGAGTTAAGAAAGAACATGCTGGACAATACACCTTGGTTCTGGATAACAGAGTCATTAAGAACTACTTTGACATCAATGTGATCACTCTGGGACCCCCTTCAGTCCCTACTGGCCCCATCCGTTTTGACGAGATAAAAGCTCAAAGTATTATTATCTCCTGGGATGAGCCGAAGGAAGATGGAGGTGGCGAGATCACCTGCTACAGTGTGGAGAAACGTGAAACCTCCCAGGCCAACTGGAAGATGGTCTGCTCCAGTGTTGTCAGGACTACCTTTAAGATTCCTAACCTGGTCAAAGGAACTCAGTACCAGTTCAGAGTCCGTGCAGAAAATAAGTATGGGGTCAGTGAGCCACTCATCTCTTCAGATGTTGTTGCCCAGCACCAGTACAAACCTCCAGGTCCTCCAGGAAAACCAGTTGCCTACAACATCACCAGTGATGGTATGTCAATAAAGTGGGATGCCCCAGATTTTGACGGGGGTTCCCCAGTCTTAGGTTATCATGTCGAGAAGAAGGACAGGAACAGCCTCTTATGGCAGAAAGTGAATTCCACAACCATCTCTAACAGAGAGTACAGGATAATTGGTCTTGTGGAGGGTCTGGAGTACTCCTTTAGAGTCTATGCAGAGAACAATGCCGGACTCAGCCCTTGCAGTGAGCAGAGCAAACATGCACTCGCTATCTCCCCTGTTGGTAAGTAGACGTTGCTCAGTACATCGGTCTATATTTAGGAGTTGTTTTGTATTTACAGTTTAGACATTATGATTCTTTCATTTTGTCCTATTTAGTTACTCTTTACATCTAAATTATTATGGATTAATTGCTTTCTTCCCTCAATTAGATCCACCCGGTACCCCAGTCTGCATTGATGTAACCAGAGACTCAGTCACCCTCCAATGGGACATTCCCAAGAGGGATGGTGGAAGCAAAATTGTAGCCTATAGTGTGGAGAGGCGTCAAGGCAGAGGCAAATGGCTACGGTGCAACTTCACTGATATCAGTGAGACCCAGTTCACTGTAACTGGTCTCTCACCTGGAGAAAGAATTGAGTTCAGAGTGATTGCCAGGAATGCTGTTGGCACAGTCAGCCCACCATCCAACTCCTCTGGATACATAATGACCAAGGATGAGAGCAGTAAGTATTTTTAATATAAATACATGTTAGAAGAACGCAAATTGTTGATTGTTTTTTAATTAATCACATCTTACTTGATGCTGATTCATAATCTTTTTGTCTGCATCTCCAGTTGCTCCTGAGATTGAGTGGTCTCCAGACCAGGTGCTCACCCTGAGGGCTGGAGATAACGTCAGTCTCAGCTGCAAAATCACCGGACGTCCAGTCCCACAGGTTCTTTGGTACAAGGAGGGTAAAGAGATCGACAAGAGGACTATGATTGACATTGAGATTACTACTGGCATTGGCACCAGTAGTCTGTTTATTCGCGATTCTAACAGGAACCACCGTGGAATTTACACTGTAGAGGCCAAAAATAGCTCTGGAACCAGGAAAGCTGACATTAACGTTAGAGTCCAAGGTTTGTAAATGTGTGCAATTTGTTATAATATCTGTTAAAAAACACTGTTTTAGACAAATCTGTTTCTGTTGACACAAGTGATACAAATGTTTTTACCGTAACAAGTCTCCTCAATCAACTGTTTCCTTGCAGATACCCCTGGACCCGTCGAGGGCCCAATCCGTTTCACAGGCATCACAGCTGAGAAGTGCACTGTGTGGTGGAGCCCACCAGAGAACGATGGCTGTGCTGCCATTTCTCACTATGTGGTGGAGAAAAGGGAGACATCCAGGATCACTTGGGCCTTGGTCACCTCCAAGTGTGAAGCTTGCTCTTATAATGCCACCAACCTCATCAAAGGCAATGAGTACCAGTTCAGAATCTCTGCTGTCAACAAGTTTGGTGTCGGCAAACCACTGGACTCTGATCCTATAATTGCGAAGATGCAATACAGTAAGTAAAGTTACTCAGTGCTGTCTGTCTGACTTGTTGGGAAACTCTTAAAAGTAATCTGAATTTTCTATTGAACATAAGCACTAATGGAAGAAATGCTTTCCACCATTCAAAGATATTACTTGAAATTTTTTTTTATTTTTGTTCTGTTACTCAGCTGTTCCTGATGCCCCTGGTACACCAGATGCCACCCATGTTACTGGAGACAGCATAACGCTGTGTTGGACCAGGCCACGGTCAGACGGAGGCAATGAGATTAAATGCTACATCCTAGAGAGGAGAGAGAAGAAGAGCTTGCGCTGGGTTAAGGTCTCCTCCAAAAGGCCCATTACAGAGTTAAGGCACCGTGTGACCAAACTTACTGAGGGCAATGAGTATGAGTTCCGTGTTATGGCTGAAAATGGTGCTGGTGTCGGACCAGCCAGCAGCACCTCCAGGCTCTTCAGATGCAGAGAACCAACAAGTGCTCCCAGTGCTCCCACTGTAATCAAGGTAGATCTTGTGTTAACACTCATTGAATTATACATGTTTCATATTCATACACAAGAGGCAATTTGGATACAAAACAGGTGCAGCATTGTAGTGAAGAACGCTGAGTTCAACTCAATATTAGATTGTAGAAACAAAACGCATTAAAAAAATTGTAACTATGCTTTTTGTTCGTCAGGTCATTGACTCCACTAAGTCCTCTGTCACCCTGGAATGGACCAAGCCAGTCTTTGATGGTGGCATGGAAATAATTGGCTACAATATAGATATGTGTAAGGCCAGTCTGGAGGAGTGGCACAGAGTCAACAGACAGATTTGTATTCACACCAGGTATACTGTCACAGGTCTAGTACCTGGAGAACTCTACAAGTTCAGAGTCAGTGCTGTAAATGGATCAGGAGAGGGCGAAGCATCAGTGATGCCAAACCCTGTTCAGTCTTTGGACAGACTTACATCTCCTGAAATTGATCTTGGTCCTGACTTCAAGCAAACTCATATTGTGAAGAATGGAGGCACTATAACCCTACATATTGCTTTCCGAGGAAAGCCAGCTCCTCTAGCTACGTGGTCTAAATTAGACAGTGAGCTTCCGATAATGGCTGATATCAACACCACAGATTCATTTTCCACTCTGACCATAGAGAACTGCACCAGGTATGAGGCAGGCAAATACACCCTGTCCCTGGAGAACAACAGTGGGCGCAAATCCATCACATTCACTGTTAAAGTACTGGATACTCCTGGACCTCCAGGAGCCATAACCTTCAAAGATATTACTCGCGGAGCCTTGACAGTGATGTGGGACGCTCCTGCCACTGACGGTGGATCCCGAATCCACCACTACATTGTGGATAAGCGTGAAGCAAGCCGCCTTGCCTGGCAAGAAGTCAGCACCAAGTGCTCACGGCAGATGATCAGAGTAACTGGTCTGGAAATTGGTGTACCGTATTTGTTCAGAGTGATTGCCGTTAACCATTATGGCCAGGGAGAACCAAAAGAGATGACTGAGCCTATAATTGCCACAGAAGAACCTGCGCCACCCAAGAGATTGGATGTTGTTGACACAACCAATTCCACAGCCTCACTGGTATGGCTAAAACCCGAGCATGATGGAGGCAGCCGCATTAGAGGCTATATTGTTGAATTCAGGGCTAAGGGCACTGACCACTGGGTTGTTAGTGGAGAGACTAAGTCTCAGAAGATGTTGGTAGAGGGTCTGATTGAGAACACAGAATATGACTTTAGAGTCAAAGCCAAGAATGATGCTGGAATTAGCGAACCTCAGGGCACCTTTAGCTCTGTGGTCATAAAGGAGCCTTGCATAGAACCAACTGCTGATCTCAGCAGCATCACCAACCAGCTCATCACTTGTAAGACTTCCAACACCTTCACAATTGATGTCCCTATCAGTGGCAGACCTGCACCTAAAGTTACCTGGAAACTGGAAGAGATGAAGCTGAAGGAGACTGACAGAGTCTCCATTAAGACCTCAAAGGAAAGAACCATTTTGGTAGTGAAAGACAGCAAGAGAAGCGACAGCGGCAAGTACTACCTGACACTGGAGAATGCTGCTGGTGTGAAGACATTCACAGTGACTGTTGTCATAGTTGGCAGACCAAGTCCACCCACAGGACCAGTGGAAATTTCTGGAATCTCTTCAGAGTCCTGCACCCTTTCTTGGTCTGAGCCAGCTGATGATGGTGGTACTGACATCAGCAACTACATTGTAGAAAAACGGGAATCTGGCTCTGCTTCTTGGCAAGTGGTGAACTCCAGTGTGAAGAGAACCACCATCAAAGTCACACATCTCACCAAATACATGGAGTACACATTTAGAGTCTGTGCTGAGAACAAGTTTGGAGTCAGCAAGTCCGTTGAGTCTGCCCCTGTTGTCATTGAGCATCCATTTGGTAGGTGCTGTCCAACAGTTTAAATATATGATCCTGATTTTATATATGTGTGTGCCAACATTGGTTTTGTTTTGTTTTTTTAATGCTTTGGATTTCTTCTAAACAAACCATATTCTCATCTCCACTTGATTTTCATAGTTCCACCAAGTCCTCCAACTCGCCCAGATGTGATATCTATATCTGCCAATGCCATTAGCATCAAATGGGATGTTCCATATGCTGATGGTGGCAGCAAGGTGACAGGCTACTGGATTGAGAAAAAGGAGAGGAACACGATCCTGTGGGTGAGGGAGAACAAGCTACCCTGCCTGGATTGCCAATACAAGGTCTCGAACCTGATTGAGGGGCTGGAGTATCAGTTCAGGGTGTATGCCATGAACCTTGCTGGGCTCAGCAAAGCCAGCGAAGCCTCCAGACCTGTAGTGGCACTCAATCCTGTTGGTAAGAAAATATTCACATTCACATTCATCCTAACTATGAAGATGTATTATGAAATGACAGACGGTCAATACTCAATTTCGCTTAAGGTCCTAAAAACAGATCTATTGTTATTACTGTTGATATTGCCCAACTAAAATGCATAATGGAGACTTTAAGAGCATAGTCGGAAGTGTTTGAGTTGAAGTCAATTGTACTTCTTTTTTCTGAACTTCTGAAGCTAGAGAACACTTTTGGATGATAGATAAAACATCTTCAAGAACTTCTTTTCAACTCAAGCCCTTAGGACTACTCTGGCCTGAATGACTGAGAACCTACACAAATTTTAACAATATCTGACGTTGTGTTATATAAAAGTTTTATGATCATTTCTACCCTCCAGATCCTCCTGGCAAACCCGAGGTGACAGACATCACCCGCTCTTCTGTGTCATTGTGCTGGACGGTGCCCTTCAATGATGGTGGCAGTAAGATCATTGGTTATGTGGTGGAGAGAAAAGTCTACAGCACAGATGAGTGGGATGACAACCGCTGGCTCAAGTGCAACTATACCACAATCACAGAGAACTACTTCACCATCACAAACCTAGGTGAAGGAGAGACCTATGAATACCGTGTCGTTGCCAAGAATGCTGCAGGTGTTCAAAGTGTCCCTTCAGAGACCACTGGACCAGTCACATGCAAGGATGAATATTGTAAGTTCAAGGGTTTTGTTTGGGTTTTTTTTTTTTACCTTGATAGTATTTAAATAAGTTAATCTACATTTCCTGTTATTTTAGAAACAATAAATAACTATGAATGAATGTAACTTTAAAGAAAAAAAAGCTCCCCTGCTTGGTGTACCAGGCAGAATATCAATAAAAATGACTAAAACAAAGATTGTTTTCAGGGTTCAGTTCATTATACTGGTATATGTTGTTATTTTTTAATGTAACACTAATCATCCCTTACTTTTTGCAGCTCCTCCCAAAGCTGAACTTGACAGCAAACTGATAGGTGAGACTGTCACTGTTACTGCTGGTTCTGACCTTGTCTTGGACGGTGCTGTGGGTGGTAAACCAGAGCCTACAGTGTACTGGTCAAAGGGTGACAAGATTTTAGAACTTGGAGAAAAATATTCACTGACCTACACTGCCACTAGAGCCATGGCTGTCATCAAGAGCTGTGACAGATACGACACAGGTAGATACATTCTAACTGTCAAGAATGCCAGTGGAATTAAGACGGCAGCTGTCAGCGTTAAAGTTCTAGGTGAGCAGCCAAAAGGACATTAATTAATTAGTGTGTCGTAATAGTTTGAACTTTCTGATTGAAATGTTGTTTTCTGTCTGTTAGACACTCCTGGAGCTCCAGCTGATAGGATTGTAATCAGCAGAGTCACAGAGGAAAAATGTACAGTGTCTTGGAAGATACCTCTGGAGGATGGTGGAGACTCTGTCACCCATTACATTGTGGAACGTCGTGAGACCAGCCGCCTCAACTGGGTCATCATGGAGACTGAGTGCAAGACCCTGTCATGTGTCAGCACTAGGTTGATCAAGAACAATGAGTACATCTTTAGGGTTAGAGGTGTCAATAAGTATGGGGCTGGAGTTCCTTTGGAATCTGATCCCATCATTGCCAGAAACGCTTACAGTAAGCTGCAGCATTTTTCCAAATCTTACTTACAATTTCAATTTTGGATTTAGGTGTTATGGATTATATTACATCTTATTAAAGGGAAAACGTAATGTAGATGTGTTTGCGTGACTCTGACCTGTTCCCACTCTTCCACAGCAATCCCCTCCCAGCCAGGCACACCAGAGGTGACTGCAGTGGGTAAGGAGCATGTTATCATCGAGTGGCTGAAGCCTGAGAGTGATGGAGGAAGCGAGCTCAAAAACTACATCGTTGAAAAACGAGAGAAGAACAGTAGCAGGTCAGAACAAATTCTGGATTCACTGAAGATGTTGAGACATAATTTCTTAAATAAAGATACTTATCCTTCTCTTTCATGATGTTGTTTTGTTGTTTGGACCAGGTGGACTCGAGTGAATAAGACCTACACCATCTATGACACCCGCCTGAAGATCACAGGCCTACTGGAGGGAAGCGAGTACCAGTTCAGAGTTACAGCAGTCAACTCTGCTGGATACAGCCAGCCAAGTGACACCTCAGTATACATCCTCTGTAAAGACCCCACATGTAAGACATTTTTACTTAAAAAAAAAAAAAGAAAGAAAGAAAGAAAGAAAGAAAACTGTAGACATTGTCCTTTTAATGCCAAGAGAAAAGAGACATTATTTAATATTTTTCAGTTCCATTCAGTTCACTTTTATTTATATAGCACCAATTCACAGCAGAAGTCACCATAAGGTGTTTTATATTGTAAGGTAAAAATGCTAAAATGATAGAAAGAAAATCAACAATCATACTAACCACTAATAGCAAGCACTTGGCAACAATGGTAAGGAAACTTTTAACAGGATAAAACCTCCATCAGAACCAGGTTCAGGGGAAGAGCAGCCATCCCCACGATCAGCTGGGAATAAGGGGAAAGAGAGGAGAAAGATACCGGAAAAAGGCAAACTAAAGGATAGGCAGAGTTTAATATTTACTAAAGATGTAATACAGTAGGCAATAAAGGCAGTCCAACATACTGTGTTAATGTGGACATATGCTGATTAAAAAAGACTCCAAGATTCTTCACAGTGTTATTGGAGGCCAAGGTAAGTATCTGGTTAGACACCATGTTTCGATGTCTCCACCATGTTGTTTTAGGCCTGAGTACATCAAGCCCTGTTTTCTCTGAAATTAGTAAATTAACAAAGTAGTAAATTAAAGGTATTTCAGGTCTCGTGTCTTTAAGACATGCCTTTAGTTTAACTAGTTGTGGAACTTCATAATTAACCTTTTTGTAGAAGAAAACTCCCCATTTACATGCACATAGCACAGTGCTATTGAACCCCACATTGTGGTGTAGTCGCACAACAAGATAAGTACTGACAGAGGCCATTTGATCATCTGTAACCTTCACTAGTGATATATTTATACTGTGATACACTCTAAATCCTGGCTTTGTCATAATAAACTGAGGACCCAAAATACAGAATCACAGGCTTTATTGCTAAGCTTGTAACAAACCACAGCATCAAGGGTCATGTTTTGGGGTGGGGGTTAATATATTCAGCCAAATTTTAAGAAATAAAAGCTCCAAAATGTGATGGTTTCCATCTCTCCTAAGAAGACTACGTTTTCCCCAGACTGCAACTCTGGTGCTCTGGTTTTTGGTCCCAAAGTTTTAGAGTTTTTTTTGTAAAGCCAGCCAACTCCACAACTCCAAAACTAGAAACAAAAAATACAATAACTGACTATTTCAAATATAATTTGCAAGTGCAGATTCAATCCAATTCAATTCAATTTATATAGCGCCAAATCACAACAAAAGTCGTCTCAAGGCGCTTCATAGATACAGAGAAAAACCCAACAATCATATGACCCCCTATGAGCAAGCACTTTGGCGACAGTGGGAAGGAAAAACTCCCTTTTAACAGGAAGAAACCTCCAGCAGAACCAGGCTCAGGGAGGGGCGGCCATCTGCTGCGACCGGTTGGGGTGAGAGAAGGAAGACAGGATAAAGACATGCTGTGGAAGAGAGACAGAGGTTAATAACAGATATGATTCAATGCAGAGAGGTCTATTAATACATAGTGAGTGAGAAAGGTGACTGGAAAGGAAAAACTCAATGCATCATGGGAATCCCCCGGCAGCCTACGTCTATTGCAGCATCACTAAGGGAGGATTCAGGGTCACCTGGTCCAGCCCTAACTATATGCTTTAGCAAAAATGAAAGTTTGAAGCCTAATCTTGAAAGTAGAGATGTCTGTCTCCTGTCTCCTGAATCCAAACTGGAAGCTGGTTCCACAGAAGAGGGGCCTGAAAACTGAAGGCTCTGCCTCCCATTCTACTTTTAAATACTCTAGGAACAACAAGTAGGCCTGCAGAGCGAGAGCGAAGTGCTCTAATAGGGTGATATGGTACTACAAGGTCATTAAGATAAGATGGGGCCTGATTATTTAAGACCTTGTATGTGAGGAGCAGGATTTTGAATTCAATTCTGGATTTAACAGGTGAACAGATGAAGTCACTATGTTTGTTGTTAATCAAGTGGCACACACTGTGCTTTGCAACAGGATGAGGAAGTGATACCAATGTTGAAAGCACCACCCCAAACATATTCTACAACATATTTGTTTAGATAAATACATTTTCAAAAATTCCATTTCATCTACAGACACCCCAGCTCCTCCATCAGTGCCTCGCATCACAGACACAACGAAACACAGCATCACCATGACTTGGACCAGGCCCATGTATGATGGTGGATCAGATGTCACCGGCTACATTGTGGAGATCCTAGAGGAGGGTTCTGAGCAGTGGTACCGTGCCACTGCCAAAGCCCTCAAGACTAATGAGTATGTGGCTGCTGGTTTGGCTGCCAATAAGAAGTACAGATTCAGGGTTGCTGCCATTAACAGCAATGGGACTGGAGAGTTCAGTGAACCAAGTGCTGAAATCGAACCACTTGAGAAAATTGGTAAGTAGGTGTAGATTTCTGTTGAAAAAATCAATATTTGAACTATATCTGAACTTTTTAATGTTCTATGTAAACTATGCTCCATCCACTCAGAAATACCCGACTTGGAGCTGGCTGATGACCTAAAGAAAACAGTGTGCCTCCGTGCGGGAGGTACTCTGCGCCTGTTTGTGTCTGTCACTGGTCGACCAACACCAGTAGTGGCCTGGAGGAAGACGGGGGTGGAACTACAGAGCCGTGGTTATATTGAGACTACTGACAAGTACACATCACTGGTAGTAGAGAAGGTTGATCGCTACGACTCTGGAAAATACATTGTAGAGGCAGAGAACCCATCTGGAAAAAAGACTGCCATCATCCTTGTTAAAGTCTATGGTATGTCAACCAAAGTTTCCACAGAGTTTGTTAAAAGATTTTGGATATCAAATATGTACAATCACCATACAGTTAGTAAAGTAATATCGTTTCTAAATATGATCTTTTTACTTGCCTCTCTTTGTCAGACACTCCTGGTCCTCCAGGTTCAGTGAAAGTGAAGGACTACACCAAGGAATCTGTTGTGATCACCTGGGATGTCCCAAGCATTGATGGTGGTGCTCATGTCAGCAACTATATTATAGAGAAGCGTGAGGCCAACATGAAGTCCTATAAGACTGTTATCACTGAGTGTAGGAAAACACTGTACAGAATCAGTGGACTGGAGGAGGGTGTGTACTACTTTTTCAGAGTCCTGCCAGAGAATATCTATGGTGTCGGTGAGCCCTGTGAGACAGCGGAGGCTGTGCTGGTGTGTGAAGTGCCCTCAGTGCCTGTGAAGCTTGAGATTGTTGATGTTTCCAAATCTTCTGTCACCCTGCACTGGGAGAAGCCTTTGCATGATGGTGGCAGCAGATTGACAGGCTACATTATTGAGGCCTGCAAAGTAGGCTCCGACAGATGGAGTGCTGTGGCGACAGTTAAGGCCTCAGTATCCCAGCACACCATCCAGTCTCTGACAGAAAATGACCAGTATCTGTTCAGAATCCGAGCCACGAACAGCAGGGGAGCCAGTGAATCCACTGACATTGTCACTCCAGTGATCATCCAAGAGGTCAAGGGTAAGATATCAAAACACAAATCATCACATCATTTCTGTTTTTACTAAGCTGTGAAAAGCTCCACATAAGTCATATGAAAAATTTTGTGTTTACTGCAGTTATGCCCAAGATTGACATGACAAGTATCCCTCAGAAGATAGTTCATGTGAATCGCGGCAAACCTATTGACCTCAACATCCCAATAAGGGGCAGGCCACAGCCAGTCTGCTCGTGGTACTTTGGTGGTGTGAAGCTGAAGGACACCCTGGACCGCATCAAGATTGACAGCACCAGCAAATATACCCATCTCGTCATCCGTGAGACGACCATCTCTGACACAGGAGACTACACACTAGAGGTGAAGAATACCATAGGCATGGCAACTGAAGTTATCAAGGTTATCATCCTGGGTAAGCAGACATTCTTTACTAAACTGAATGTTTTATATTGTCAGTTTTTATTTAGTAAGGTGTATTTTTCCTTCAGAGAAAAATCAAAAGACAAAGAAATAAAAAAGACAAAAACTGTCTTCCTAAATAGCTGCCTTGTTGTTTCTGTTCAGACAAACCGAGTATTCCTATGGGTCCAGTAAAGATCGAGGAAGTCGACGGTGTTTCAGTGACAGTTAGTTGGCAACCTCCAGAGAATGATGGTGGTGCCAATGTCAGCGGATATGTCGTTGAGCAGCGTGATGCCCACCGGCCTGGCTGGACCACCATCTCCGAGTCTGTGACAAGGCCTTGCTTTAAATTCACTAGGCTCTCTGAAGGAACTGAGTACGTTTTCCGTGTTGCAGCCATGAATCGTTTTGGCATTGGTGGCTTCCTGCAGTCTGATGTGGTGGAATGCAAGAGCGCCAAGAGTAAGTTCTCTTCCCATAAAATGTTCTTCATATGCACCTTCAATGAGAATTGTGCTGCCTTTAATAACTTGCACTGTTGCTTTGAAAACCTTCTTCTTGTTCTTTTCAAGCCCACAAGTCCAACTTCTTTCTGAAGCATTTTTTTACAGTTTCAGTTTCACACTGTTATTGGTGGTCACTGTATACAATTACAAGTAGACAGGTTCTGATTTGATATATAAACTTAAAAATCCCATTAAACTGTGGATTGTTTATTCTCACTGAACTATATGGTACTATGTCTTGTTTGTTATTCATCTCTGATTGTTTTTCTTTTCTATGTAGCCATTCCCGGACCCCCAAGCAGGCCAGAAGTGCTTGATGTCACCCATGAAGGCATGACCCTGACCTGGAAACCACCTGAGGACAATGGTGGCTCCACTATTGCGGGCTATATCATAGAACGGAAAGAGGCCCATTCTGACAGGTGGTTGAGGATCAACAAAAACCCTGTTACTATGACCAGGTACCGTTCCTCCGGACTGATTGAGGGCCTGGAGTATGAACACCGTATCACAGCCATTAACTCTAGAGGGGCTGGGAAACCCAGCGAGAGTTCTGTCATTACCATCGCTTTAGACCCCATTGGTATGTCCCGCAAAAGATCACTGTAACAGTTGTACTGCTTTTCTGTTTTAAATTAGCCATACCACTGTGGGGTCACTATCTTTACCTATTCTCTCTGTTATTAAACAGAACCTCCAGGTCCTCCAGTTCAGGCCAGAGTCACAGACACTACCAGGACTTCTGTTTCTCTAGCTTGGCTTCCACCAGAAGAGGAGGGTGGTTCTGTCATTACTGGCTACTTTATTGAAATGCAGAAGGTAGACCAGCTGGAATGGACACTGTGTAACACAACTCCCACGAAGATGTGCGAGTACATCATCACCCACATGCCACAGGGGGCTGAATACAAATTTAGGATTATCGCCTGCAATGCTGGTGGTTGTGGAGAAGCTGCTGAGATTCCTGGAGTGGTTAAAGTCCAGGAGATGCTTGGTAAAGAAAGAATTTGAAATATTTATAAATCCTTTACTTCAGTTTTTTGGTGGCATGGCATATAGCATCCTGGCATTTTTAGCTTTAGTTAAAAAAATCAAACCTCTGTCTTCTTCAGATTATCCTGACTATGAGCTGGATCCTAAATATGAAGAGGGCTATGTGGTCAGACAAGGTGGTGTCATCCACCTGTCTGTACCCATTAAGGGTAAACCCATCCCTACATGCAAGTGGACCAAGGATGGTCGTGACATCTCCCATCGGGCCATGATTGCTACCCATGATGACATCACTGAGCTGGTCATCAAAGAGGCGCATAAAGATGACACTGGTACCTACGATTTGGTGCTGGAAAACAAATGTGGCAGGAAGGCTGTTTATATCAAGGTGGGGAGCGTGTCTGAAAGACTTCATTAAAGAATGGCTAATGAAATGAAAACATATATTGTATAAAATCTAATAATATTTGCAGCCTTAAAAACGAACTCTCTGTACCTCCTCTCTGTAGGTGAAAGTGATTGGTCGCCCAGATGTCCCAGAAGGGCCTCTGGAATTTGACGACATTCAGGCCCGATCAGTAAGAGTCAGTTGGAGGCCACCATCAGATGACGGTGGTGCAGACATCCTGGGATACATAGTGGAAAGGCGGGAGGTACCCAAGGCTGCCTGGTATACAGTGGATGCTCGAGTAATTGGGAACTCTCTAGTGGTGAAGGGCCTAAAGGAGAATGTGGAGTACCACTTCAGGGTTGCTGCTGAGAATCAGTTTGGTGTCAGCAGAGCTTTAAAATCTGAAGAGTCTGTCACACCAAAGACTCCACTTTGTGAGTAGTGATATATTTGTTATTAGTCCAACTTTCTCAGTCGAACTGGGAAAATTTTGTATTTAATAAACCTATTCTTGTGATAATCATACACTCCGAACATACTGTAACTCTGATAATTTAATTTGTAAAACCATCCTTTATCACAGGCCCACCTGAACCTCCCAGCAACCCACCAGAGATCATGGATGTTACCAAGTCCACAGTTTCTCTCTCCTGGGCCAGGCCCCGCGACGATGGAGGCTCTCGTGTCACTGGATATTATGTTGAGAGAAGGGAGGTTTCAACAGAGAAGTGGGTCCGCCACAACAAGACCCACATCACCACCACCATGTTCAATGCCACTGGTCTCATCCCTGATGCAGAGTACATGTTCAGAGTTGTCGCACAAAATGACATTGGACAGAGCGAACCTGGTCCTGCTTCTGAATCTGTAGTCTGCAAAGATCCATTTGGTGAGTTATGGCTCAGTCATACTAGAGTACAAATAGGGCAACAACCTCCTTGCAACTCTTCCTTTACTTAGTGACTGTTAATTTTTAAGTTACTGGCATTTGTCAACCATTTGCATGTAGTAACGGTGACTAGTCACCCAGAGATTGAACGTGCAACACCCTCAACCTCTGTGTCACCACTTTTGACTGCAAGGTGATTGCACAGGTCACCTGGTAGGAGGTGACACCACCTCCAAACAGTCACAGTCCAACTCAGAGTGACTGCAATTACTTTCAGAGATACTGATGAAATTTTGCAAATAACTGCTATCTAATTTATAAATGCAGACAGATTGCCAACTCATTGCAATCAATCTAAATCAGTCTGTGCTGATAAGGGAAACCCATCTCATACATTCTAAAATACTTAAATTGATGTTAGAATGAATTTATCCAAGATTATTGACCCTTTTCCTTTCTGTTTTCCTGTAGACAAACCTAGCCAACCAGGAGAGATTGACATTGTCTCTGTCACTAAAGACTGTATCACCATCCACTGGCTCAGGCCTGAGCATGATGGTGGCAAGGAGATCCTAGGTTACTGGATTGAGTTCAGGCAGGCTGGAGAGAGTGCCTGGAAAAAATGCAATAAGGAGCGCTCGAAGGATCGTCAGTTCACCATGGGTGGCTTAATGGAAGCCACTGAGTATGAGTTTAGAGTCTTTGCTGAGAACGAGACTGGACTCAGCCGACCTCGTCGCACACCTATGGGCATCAAGACCAAATTGAGTGGTAAGCTGTTGCAGGATTGAGGTCTATCAAAACAAATGATCTCGTTGCAGTAGAATTTGACATTCAATGTATAACATATCTGGCAAGTTCAATACAAATGTTGTTTAACTGACAACAGAAAAATATATCTTAGAACCAAATTTTGACCAAGATTTAATGTTAAAGTCAAAATCGTATAAAACCTAATGTTTAAAGGGAAAGACAACCAATTTATTTGTAATTCCTTTCAATTTACAACAAAAAGTAAAAATTAAATACATTTAGTGTGATTAAACATTGCTGTCTTTCTGCAGTTGGTGAGGCTCCAGCTTTGACAGAAGACATCCAAGATGTAACAACCAAACTTGGCGAGTCTGGCACTCTGACCTGTGGCATTATTGGCAGACCTCTGCCTGAGATTAAGTGGTACCGCTTTGGCAAGGAACTGATCCAGAGCCGCAAGTACAAAATGAGCTCAGATGGTCGAAACCACTCCCTCAGCATTCTAACAGATGAACAGGAAGATGAGGGCCTGTACACCTGTAGGGCAATCAATGAGGCTGGAGAGATCGAGAGCAGTGGTAAACTGCGTTTACAGGCAGCTCCCCAGTTTCACCCTGGCTTTCCCCTGAAGGAAAAATACTTTGCTGGGGCTGGCACCAGTCTCCGCCTTCATGTCGTATACATTGGCCGTCCCATCCCACAGATCATGTGGTTCTATGGCAAGAAGCCTCTGAATCCATCTGAAAATGTGATCATTGAAAACACAGAGAGCTACACCCACCTTGTGGTGAGGAATGTTCAGAGAAAGACCAACGCTGGTCGCTATAAGGTGCAGCTCAGCAATTTCTTTGGAACTATTGACACTGTGCTTCGTGTAGAAATCCAAGGTGAGATCAAACTATAAACAAATTGCTTAAGGGCTCCACATCCATCCATCCATCTATCCATAAATTTAAAATCAAAGTTACAAATGAAAGCCCTTTGCATGAGTTTTCAGTTTCAGTCTACAAATCTTTCATATATATATGCGTGTGTGTGTGTGTGTGTGTGTGTGTGTGTGTGTGTTTCTAGACAAGCCATGCATGCCTGAGGGGCCCCTAATTGTTGAAGCCCTGCTTAAGAGCTCAGTTGTCATCAGCTGGAAGGCTCCCAAGGATGATGGCGGATCAATGATTACCAACTACATTGTGGAGAAACGGGAGGCCAAAGAAGGGGAACAGTGGTACCTGGTGTCCTCCTCTTTGTCTGGAACCACCTGCCGTGTCCTCAATCTGACGGAGAATGCTGGCTACTACTTCAGGGTTTCAGCTCAGAATCAATATGGAGTCAGCGAGCCTCTAGAGATCCCATCAGTGGTTATAATCAAGAGTCCATTTGGTAAGTTTATTTATATTTTATTTTGGTGTCCTTTTCACAGATGGCTTATTCTGTCTCAAATCAACCACAGCTTCTACTCGACCGTCTCCTATTTGCATAAGTTATAGAGTACCATCTAGAAACTTAAATGTGTTCATTTTGTAAGGAGCGTATTTAGTTTTCAAGATCTGCCACTGCATAGAATATGGGACTTCTGCACTATAGTAACTTTCCTATTTGTTTTTCAGAAAAACCTGGCATCCCACAGCAGCCTTTCATTATCAGCTCCACAAAGGACTCTTGTGTTGTCTGTTGGAAGCCTCCAAGCAGCGATGGTGGAGCTAAAATCACAAACTACTACCTGGAGAAACGTGAGAAGAAACAGAACAAGTGGATGTCAGTAACTACCAAGAAGATTGCAGAGACCAACTATGAGGTCATAGGCTTGATTGAAGGCTTCGAGTATGAGTTCCGTGTCAAATGTGAGAACATGGGCGGTGAGAGCGAATGGAGTGAGATTTCTGAACCCATCATCCCCAAGTCTGACCAGCCTCCTCGCACTCCCACATTCAGGGAGGAGATCAGAGACATGACTGTCAAATACCATGCCAGTGCAACATTTGTCACTAAGGTACTTTTTTTAAAACTACATTGCTTATTCCTTTAAAATCTCTCAGTTTTTAAGTCAAAAATACAATCATAACATCATTGTTCAGTGGACACCAGTTATTTATTTTGTCTCTTTTTCCTCCAACAAGGTGTTGGGCTATCCAAAGCCTGTTGTGAAATGGTACCGTAGTGGAAAGGAGATCCTGGCAGATGGAACTAAGATCAAAGCGCTGGAGTTCAAGGGAGGCTACTATCAGCTTGTCATCACTTCTGCTGATGAGAATGATGCCACAGTTTACCAAGTCAGAGCAACTAATTCCTCAGGATCCATCTCTACCACAGCCAACTTGGAGGTGGAAGGTAATATCATAATTTCCAAATATTTTCTAGAATGCACTAAATGCATGATATCTTCTTTCCAATTCCTGATTTTAAAAAAGCCCACATTCATGAGAATAAGTCATGATTTTGGTCATTTTTATTGTAGTTCCTGCTAAGATCTATCTGCCTCAGGAGCTCCAAGGAATGGGCGCAGTCCATGCTGTCCGTGGTGATCACATCACCATCAAGATCCCCATCTCTGGCAAACCTGAGCCAACAATCACTTGGCAGAAAGGTCAGGAGATCCTCTCCAACTCTCCTTATCACCAAGTCATCACCACAAGGTCTTTCACATCCCTGGTATTCCAGAAGGGAGTCCAGAGGAAAGATACTGGCTACTACATTATTACTGCAAAGAACAGGTTTGGAATGGACAAGCAAACCATCGAGGTGAATGTGGCTGACATTCCTGAAGCTCCAAAAGGCCTTGTGGTTAGTGAAATTGCAAGGGATTCTATCACTCTTGTCTGGGAGCCCCCTGTCAGTGATGGTGGAAGCAACATTATTAACTACATTGTGGAGAAGTGCCCCACCACCAGTGATAGGTGGATTCGTGCTGGACAAACGACTGACTGTAGTATCACTATCATCAACATATTTGGAAAGGCCAAATACCAGTTCCGTGTTATTGCCGAGAACCAGTTTGGTCTGAGCCCACCATCTGAACCAACTGAGCCTATCACCACAAAGGAAGACAAGTCTGTAATTAGGAACTATGATGAGGAAGTGGACGAAACAAGAGAAATTACTAAAGAGGAGGCTCTTTTCTACAAGGTGAAGGAGCTGTCCTCAAAGTACATTATCTCTGAGGAGCTTGCTCACTGCCAGTTTGGTGTGGTTCACCGTTGTATTGAGATTGCCACAAAGAAAACCTACATGGCCAAGTTTATCAAAGTCAAAGGAACTGATCGTGAGTTGGTTTTGAGGGAAATTGAAGCTCTTAATGTGGGAAGGCACAAGAATATCATCTACTTGCATGAATACTTTGAAAGCATGGAGGAGATCATCCTTATCTTTGAATTTATTTCTGGAGTTGACATCTTTGAGCGGCTTGGCACCAGCAACTTTGAGCTTACAGAGCAGGAGATTGTCAAGTACCTTAGACAAGTCTGCTCTGCTCTCAAGTTCCTGCATTCCCACAACTTTGGCCACTTTGATATCCGTCCAGACAACATTGTGTACACTACAAGGAAAAGTACCAACATAAAGATCATTGAGATGGGCCAGGCTAGGCTTCTGGTGCCGGGAGAAAACATCAGAATGCTCTTTTCAGCACCGGAGTACTGCGCCCCAGAGGTCCACCGCCATGATTTGGTCACAACGGCCACAGATATGTGGTCTGTTGGTGTTATGGCCTATGTTCTTCTCAGTGGCCTTAATCCATTTGCAGCAGAGTCTACCACAAAGATGATTGAGAATATCACCAACTGTGAGTATGTCTTCGACAGTGAAGCATTTAAGGATATCAGCCTGGAGGCTATGGACTTTGTGGACAGACTTCTTGTCAAGGACAGGAAGCTTCGTATGACAGCCCATGAGGCTCTGGAGCACCCATGGCTCAAGATGAAAATAGAGCATATTAGCAACAAGGCTATCAGGACACTGAGACACAGAAGGTACTATCAGACTCTGGTAAAGAGGGTTGATACTATTGTATCAGCAGCTCGTGTGGCCTATGGTGGTGCTTTCAAGAACCAGAGGGGATTGGCTGTTGGTAAAGTGAAGATTGGAACTGAGTGCCATGGCTTCCGTGCTGGCCCAGTCATGCATGCCTCAGCTGAAGAAGGTGGTTATGCAAGATTCACTTGCAGCATTGCCAAGTATGACAAGAGTACACAGGTGTCATGGTACTTTGGTAACTGCCAGCTACACACAAGCCACAAGTATGAGATTACTTATAGTAATGGCTTTGCCAGTATCTACGTAAAGGACATTGAAGAAAGTGATGATGGTGTGTACAGATGCAAAGTGCTGAGTGATGATGGAGAAGACAGTGCTTATGGAGAGCTTTTTGTCGAGACAGTGAGGAGTATCAAAGAGTACTATCTTAGCCGCTCCATCAAGAAATTAAGGAGGAGAGTTGACAAGACTAAGCTTCTGCAGAGACCACCAGAGTTCACTTTGCCTCTCTACAACCGCACCGCTTTCATTGGCGAAGATGTGCGCTTTGGTGTTACTGTTACTGTGCATCCAGAGCCTTGCATAATTTGGCTTAAGAATGGTGAAAAAATCAAGCCAGGTGATAATGACAGCAAGTACACGTTCACCAGTGATAAGGGTCTATACCAGCTCATGATCCATAGCCTGGACATGACTGATGATGCTGAATACACTGTTATGGCCCACAACAAGTTTGGAGAAGACAGCTGCAAGGCCCGTCTCACTGTGGCACCACATCCTGTGACAGAAGAAACTATGAGGCCCATGTTCAAACGCCTGCTGGCTAATGTTGAGTGCATGGAGGGACAGAGTGTCCACTTTGAGCTCAGAGTCTCAGGTGTACCACCTCCTACTCTTAAATGGCAAAAGGATGGTCATCCACTACAGTTTGGTCCCAAGGTGGTTGTCATACAGGAGGACGTTGACTCTCATGTCCTTCACATTAGAGAGACTCTACTTGAGGACTCTGGTGTTTACAAAGTTACTGCAACCAACTCTGCTGGCACCGCCAGCTGTCAGGCAACATTGAAGGTGGACCGCCTTACCTATACAAGGAGAGAATACAGGAGTGAGGAAGAGAAATACATGCACATACAGAAACAAATTGAAAAGACCAACAAGATGGCTCAGAAAATTGTTGCTACTGAGGAGCTTGTACCGCTTAATCCCACTGCTCAAGAAGCTCTCAAATATGCTGCAGAGATTTACAAGCCAGCAGTGAGCACGAAGAATGTCGAGGGTGAGTTTGACATCAAAGAGGAGAAGTCAGAGACCAAGAAGTTGGAGGAGGAGAGGAGGATCTTCATGCCCTATGAAATTCCTGAGCCTGTGGTTCATGATCCCAGAGTTCTTGATGAGAACAAAGGTATCAAACTGTTTGTACCTCTATCAGATATGAAGTGGTACAGAAAGCTAAAAGATCAATATGAGATTTCAGAGAGGATGGAGAGGATTGTGCAGAAGAGACAGAAACGTATTCGTTTGTCCAGATGGGAACAGTTCTACGTCATGCCCCTTCCTAGAATCACTGACCAGTATAGGCCAAGATGGCGTATTCCAAAACTCACTCTAGATGATCTGGAGACTGTCAGACCTGCACGCCGCTCTCCCAGTCCTGTGTCAGAGGCGTTGTTTAGATCTAGGAGAAGATCTCTGGGAGACCTTAGCGATGAGGAGCTGATGAGAACAGAGGAAGAAGAAGGAATGATGTTGGAGGATGAACTGGAGCTTGGCTTTTCTGCCTCACCTGCTGGCAGCCCTGTACGCATTGAGCGACGTGCCATGGAGCATGAGGAAAGAAGGCAGGAAGGTAGACATGAAACCGTTGAGGTTGCTGAGACAAAGAAGAAACGTACCATCTCTCAGTATATGAGGAGGAGAAGGTCACTGTCACCCACTTACATTGAGCTAATGCGTCCAGTTTCAGAACTGATAAGACAACCACATGCTAGGCATCCTGTGGAAGTAGAGGGAGAGATTGTGGGGAGGAGGTCCCCTACCCCAGAGAGGACCCGACCACGTTCCCCCAGTCCCATCAAGTCAGTTGAAAGGTCTTCACGCTCCTCCTCTAGGTTTGAGCGGTCTGCCCGTTTTGATATCATGTCCCGTTACGAGGCCAGAAAGGCTGCTCTGAAATCTGAAAGGAAGTATCAGTTGGTCAGTCAGACACCTTTCAGTTTGGACCATGCCCCGCGTGTCACTGTTAGGATGCGTTCTCATCGTATCCCACTTGGTCAAGATACAAAATTCACCCTAAATGTACAAGCTAAACCAGAGGCTGAGGTCACGTGGTTCCACAATGGAACTGCGATCTCTGAATCCAGTGAGAAATTCATCTTTACCAACATGACTGGTGTCTTGACCATCACTATTCTGGACTGTCAGGAAGAGGATAGTGGCACGTATCGCTGTGTATGTTCCAACTCTAAGGGAGAGGCTTCAGACTATGCTACCCTGGAGGTGTCAGGTGGTAGCTACACAACTTTCTCTTCTCGCCGCAAGGATGAGGAAGCTCCCAAAGCATATGTCCCTGAAGTCACTCGAACAGACCACTACCACATCTCCCACTTCAAAGCTGGCTATGCTTCACAGACCCACTTTGAGGTAGAAGAAACCAAATCTAAGTTAACCGAAACACATGAGGTATTCACACATGAGAGATATGGCGCCTCCTCTGAAAGGTACTCCTCAGCTGAGAGGTATGACTCATCTATCAAGTATGCTTCTGCTGAATACCTGTCATCTAGTTCCTCTTATTCATCTGACAAATTTTCTCTGAGTGGGAAACACACCATATCTGAAGCTAAACTGAAATCATCTACCACTGCTGGTGATGAGGAAGTTTCTGTCCAGAAGGCAAAACTTTCTCTTCCAGCTAGAATCCTCACTAAGCCTCAGTCTGTGACAGTTGAGGAGGGAGAGACTGTCAGATTTACCTGTGATATTGATGGTGAGCCTGCACCCACTGTGACATGGATACATGAGAGCAGAACCATTGTCTCATCCCACCACATTCAGGTCACCACAACTCAGTATAAATCCAGTTTGGAAATCTCCTCTGTGACAGCCTCCCATGAGGGCAGTTACACAGTAGTGGTAGAGAATTCAGAAGGCAGACAGGAAGCTCATTTTACTTTAACCATCCATAGAGCAACCCCCAAGCAGGAAGTTAAAATAGTCAAACCCCCTGAGCCATCCGTGAAGTCACCCACTCCCAGTGTAAAGTCACCTGCACCTTCAGCCACATCCCCTATTCCCTCCACAACCTCTGCTGTTCCCAGTGTGAAGTCACCAGAACCTAGCACCAAATCCATCGAGCCTTCAGTTACATCACCAGCTTCAAGTATAAAATCTCCTGAACCAAGTGCAACATCTCCTGCTCCAAGTGTGAAGTCCCCAACACCAAGTGTGAAGTCTCCTGAACCCGAGGGGATTAAGTCTCCTAAGAGTATAAAGTCTCCTGAACCAACTGCACCTTCTCCTGCACCGAGCTTAAAATCACCGACTCCAGGTGTCAAATCTCCTGAGCCTGAGGGACCTAAGTCACCACGAGGTCTAAAATCTCCTGAGCCACGACTCAAGTCACCACCACCAACTAAGACCCTGGGGACTGGAAAGTCACTGGAATCTGAGGAAGTAAAATCACCCCGGGGTATCAAATCTCCAGAACCTACAGGTATCAAAATGCCAAAAGGTGTCAAGTCCCCAGAACCTCCTGGACTCAAAACACCAAAAGGCATCAAGTCCCCAGAACCAGCAGGCATCAAATCACCAAGGGCACCGAAGTCCCCTGAACCTGAAGGGATCAAATCACCTCCCAGAATGAAGTCTCCTCCTCCTACCATGTCCCCCAAGAGAGTTGTATCTCCACCCACCGTAAAATCCCCAATCCCAAAACCCCCCAAGGTCATGAGTCAGCTAACAGCAGAAGCCTGTGAGGGGTCAGTGAGGATGTCCTGTGTTTGTGAGAGCTCCGTCAGAGAGGTGGTATGGTATGTGAATGGGAGGAGGCTTTCACAAAGCAGTCGCCTAGAGATGCACTATTCTGAGGGTTCTTGCAGCCTTTTGATCCATAATTTAACAGACAGTGATCAGGGAGAGTACATCTGTGAGATGAAATCAGAAGGAGGAGTATCCAAGTCTTCTTTCAACTTCACTGGACAAGCGTTTCAGTCAATTCGCAAGAAGATTACAGCTTATTGTGAACAGCAGCTGGGACTTCAAGGTAGGCTTTTTCTATCACCATCCAGAAAATCTGATCCAGTTTCATGCTTTAAAGAAATTATAACAGAGCCCTAACATTGAAGTCATTCTTAACAATGACATGTGTGTTATCGTTTCTTCTGCCAGGATCAGTATTGATGAGTCAAAAGGAGTCATCGTCATCCTTGAGTTCATCGGTGATGATGAAGAAAGAAATCCATACAATGGAGGAGTCGTCTGCCTTTTCTTCTACTTGTCAGCAGGCAGTGATGTCATCCATGACGGATTCCCGCTCCTTCAGCAGCATGGCAGCTGAAATGAAGTTTGAGACCATGTCCATGTCCAGCATGTCCTCCGTGTCATCTGAGGCATATGCCATGAGCTCCAGTAGCCTCATGGAGATGGCCTCCCACTTGGAGGGATCACTTAGAGCTCTTGGTAAGATCATAAGACTCTTGGTAATCTGTAAAACTGTACTTAGCTTCCTCGCATCCACCAGCAACACAATTATCCTTCTTTTGAAATGAAACCTCATAAAGATGCTGAATTAAGCTCAATTAGCAAAACATGCTTTTTTGTCATAACATTTTTTTGTTTGTGTCTGTTGTGAAATTGTGTGCCTGCCTTACTCTAAATGAAAAAAAGGTTCTTGTTCTGTGCATATATCATGGGTTCCAGGTTCTGCTCCAAGGATTGAAGCTCTGCCAGAGGACATCAGCATTGAGCCTGGCAAAGTCCTGACAGTCGCCTGTGCCTTCTCTGGTGATGCCAGACACATTGAGTGGTCGCACGACGGCAAAAGGATTGAGTTGACTGCTGCCGGACGCTTCCATATTGAGACCACTGAGGACTTGACCACGCTCATTATCACTGGGGTGAAGAAGGAGGATGCTGGAAGCTACACCCTCAAACTGTCAAATGAGCTGGGATCTGATACAGCAACTGTTCACATTAGTATTCGATCGGTGTAAGGAAAAAAAAACAACTCTTCAAAACTTCCCCTTTTTCCTTTTCTCATGCGTTTTTATTTAATCAAGCAAAATAATCTACTTGATAAAGATCTGGATTTCTGTTCTTGTAAATATGAACTATTTTTGTAACTATCTTGACATTAATTTTTGCCAAACTAGACTAAAGTCTAAAGGTGTTATAAAATGTACCATATTGGATAACTGTGACTTAGGATTTTTGATCCATTATTCTGTGACATGTACATAATGTATATAGCCGAATTTACCGGTTATGGGAAGTGTATGCATTGTTATTTATGACAATAATATTAACTAAAACAAAATGAAACTGTATATGGTTTAACAGGAGAAAGTTCCAACAGGAACGAATACTCTGTTAAACTAAGAAACTAAACTTTGTGCCTCAACGATAAGTTGAAGTCTTAAGATTGCCTCAACAGGTAGAGAGGCTCCCTGTTGATGTTAACTCAATCAGAGACAAAACTATGAATACACTGCTTTAGAGAGCAGTGCATTAGCATTGTAAAAGCAGTGTGAGATCCTGAATGCTGTTTGCATTTACCCTCATGTAAGCAGGATGACTGGACCTCGCACTCCGACTGATTCTGTCGTACTGCTATTTCACTGACGTGCTCAGAGTGCAAGCGGCCTGCACTCCCTGAGCACAAGTGTTTCTTTTATATTTTGTGCTCTGCATCTGGCAAACAACCACTGATGAGACTTTTCACTTGTACCACCAACCTGGCCAATCACTTTAAATAAGAGTCCCTCCTGTGCTTGTTTGCAGAAACAGAGCTGTCTCTCGGAGGTATGCAGTGTGTTTGTGTGCTAGTTTTTAGAAGTTCACCTGTCAGTCAAGGTGGGTGCGGCAAAGCAGATGTATGAAACCACCTACTGCTGCGTTCAACAACAAGTCCCACATGTCGCCCTGCAGTTTAAGGGTTTGATTGAAGTTTGAGTTGTAGTTTTGACTATTTTCGCACCCTCCTTGAGTCTTTCCTCCAGTTATTTCTTTAATAAAGCATGATTATCAGCACTACAGTATGTTTCTGCTGTGGTTATTCGTCACATTAAAACACATCGTTTAACACATTTAGGTTTCTATTTTCAGGAATTAACCTGTTATTCAGGGGTAAGTGTCTGAGTTATATGACATGTGGCTCAACAGCACACTGAGTAGGTGGCGAGTTAGGCTGCACGCAATGTGAGAAACAGAAGTGACTCCATCTGTAATTGTGCCTTTTTGCTCAGTTTATGTGAGGATTTTTCTAACCATGAGAGCCACAGAAAATTGGGATTGTGGGTAGAACAAAGAACACAAAGAATCTGATCACTTTATAGTGGTTAGGTGAAGGAATCAGCTGAGCTGGCACTGTCTGGTGAGTTCTGGTGGTAAAATATTGACCATTATGTGCTGTGACAACCATGGGTAAATCCAGAGGTTCGAGGGCAATTCTAAGCTGGTGAATTAGTTGTTTGTCCAGACAGTTTTGTTCAGGCCTCAAATTATTATGCCCTATGTTGACAGAGCTTTGAATGTGGGGAAGTTTTGACCCTGCCTGCCAGTTTCCCCATCTTTAATTATTGGGATGCAGGCTGGTGGTGATAAAATGCCTTGGCTAACTACAATATACGCAAATATAATCAGTTCCTCTGATTTTAATGTAGCTCTCCCCAGCTGCTTTGGCTCTTCAGTGTTAGCAGCTGGGGGACTGTAAAAAAACAACAACAACAAAAAGATGAGAAGAATCAACCACTGGAAGCAGAAATGGGGCTATAACTGGAAGTTGGTCGGGACTTGTAGTGTCTTTCCCTATGTATTGGCCAAAATGGCCAAAGTTATAATTTCCTCCAAGCTTTTAGGTTCATCACAGGTTGCCATTTGATCTTTCATGGTATCATTTAAGGTATTTTAAAATGTTCTGCTCTTTAGTTTTAGTTTCCATATTCACTGAGTTACTAGTTCTGTCACTAGCTGGCTAACATAGACTAATGTAAGTCTATTAACTGCAACCACCAACCAGCCAGTCTAGAGAGTTCCACATTCTGTACTGGAACAAAGTTGTGTCTAAAAACTTTAAACACTTCTTAAATCCAGCTTCATAACAGTGTTAAATCTATGACAGTTTTGTTTTACAGTGGGGCTCCATGGTGTAAATTAGCATTAATAGGTGTCTACTTTTCATATCTAATTTAAACTGTACCAAAGTGAAAGTGATCTCTCTCTTCATATCAAACAGTGTTCTGTCATAAAGCTTCCAGCCTGTGGAATGTGGATAAACCTCCACTCTTTTGATGAGAGAATGATGGGAGATTAGCTGGATAAGCTAACACTGGTTGTGCTTTTAACTAATCAGTTAGGAGATGCACTTTATGTGGAAACAGGGCAAAACAGACATGCCTGTGTCATTATAACAGATAAGTTTTCTCCTGCAGTGTGGAAGAGTTTTCAATAACACCTTTGACACAGAAAGCATTGATGATGTAGAGGAATGTCAAATCCAATCTTTAAATAAATACATGTGGATCAGTTGCAGGCTCAACCACCACCACTTCTCTTTGAAATCTGACCAAATGTGCAAAGTTCAACCAGCTGTTTTGCTAATATATCATGTATTCATTTTTCATTAATATTTTTAATCCCCCTGTTGACAGTTAACCATGTCCCTTAGTCCTCAAGACTTACTTATGATTTTTTTTGCCTATATTTTAATACCCATCTGTCCACCCATCCACCTATTTTCTTAGGAGCAGAAGCACTTTTGTGATAAAAGATTAATCCTAATGTCCTAACAACCAAATGGAACCTCCCAACAAATATTTTAACACTGTACAATCATCGGGTGGCATTTAAAAAAAAATTCTAGTCCTAGAATTTTGAAAGCCGAACCAAAACTGTGACTATTAGACCAACATACTGTTGAGGTAACTCTTCAGCATCTGTGAAGGTTCTCAGTCATCCAGGTCATTGTAGTCTGAGCTTGGAAAGAAAAGCGTCTGGACTTCTTTAAGTTTCTTGAAGTTCCCCCGTCTAACATCACAATACAAGAAAAGAAGGCCGTTACATCCCTGAGCAAAGACTATAACATCACCATATCACCATCTGACGAGGGAAGGTGCACTGTTGTTCTAAACACAATGGATTATCGCACAAAAATTACTACACTCCTCAGTGACAACAAAACATATGAAGCCTCAAAACAAGACCACACAAGGAACTACAAAAAGAAAGTTATCAGTTGCCTACAAGAACTTAAAAAGGATAAAGTCATTGACTGCTCAACATACCATCATCTATACGCTGTATTTACAATCTTCCAAAGATCCACAGTCCCACTCAGACCCATTGATAGCAGTATAAACTCAGCCACCTACAACATTTCCAAACACCTTGCCACCATCCTAGCGCCCCTTGTGGGGAACACTCCTCATTCTATCACCAACAAGGCCAAGAAAGGACATGCCATTGGAGGAAGTGGAAAGAATGGCTCTTGGCTCTTTTAAAGGAAGAGTACCCAGCCACTGGTACAGATATGTAGACGACACCTGGGTCAAAATCAAAACACAAGAAGCAGAATCCCTCACTGCTCACATCAATGCTGTGGATAAAAACAAAGTTCACCACGGAAGACACAAAGGATAACTGTTTGCTATTCCTGGACTGTGCTGTGCACATTGAGGAGAATGGAAACGTCAACACTGAAGTTTACCAGATGCCCATACACATGGACCAGTACCACCTCTTTTACTCCCACCACCTTACATCACTGGGCAGAAAATGTTCCCTCTAAGCCTGAAGGAAAAAAGAAGGAACACACAGATGTAAAGGAAACGCTTATCTTAACGGTTATCTTAATTGGGCTTTCATCAAGTCAGCAAAGATGCACAGAAAAGAAGATCAGACACCAGTGAGGGAGGATAAGAAAGACAGACGCAACAACATTGTCATCCCCTATGTAGCCGGTGTATCAGAAAAACTCAGGAGAGTTTTCGCCATCCCGGTATACTTCAGACCCAGCAACACACTCAGACAAAAACTGGTTCATCCCAAAGACAAAACTCCAAAACACAGACTTAACAATGTGGTGTATGCTGTACAGTGCAGCGAGGAATGCCCAGACCTCTACATTGGAGAGACCAAACAGCCACTTCACAAGCGCATGGCACAACATAGAAGAGCCACCTCCACAGGACAAGACTCAGCTGTCCATCTGCATCTAAAGGTCAAAGGTCACTCTTTCGATGATGCCAGTGTTCACATTTTGGACAGAGAGGACAGATGGTTTGAAAGAGGAGTGAAAGAAGCATCTATGTCCACTGTGGGCGACCATCTTTGAACAGAGGGCGGGGCTTATGACACCAACTGTCTGCCATCTATAATCCAGTTTTTAAATTTCTTTTGTAGCAATAACCCCTTTTATAAGGCAACAACATAGAATGGTTAATTTTCGTGGACAACCAGTGTGAATCCTCCATTACTCTGAGGATTACCCACAATTCTTTGCCCTTCTTAGTCAATGTAGGGTGACATTTGTGACAGTAGGTGGTGGTATTGTCCCATTTAGCGGGATTAACTTGAACCTTTTTAAACTATGTTACACTTACAGTAACTCTTCAGTGTTGTCTAGATCTTTTTGTTACTTTCTAACAAGATAAATTTTTTGTTAAGAAGTATTTTCCACTATCTCTTTATCAAGTATTTATAAAAAAATCTTGACAGAAAATTGTTCTTTATGTCATAGAACTAAGTAACTTCAGACCTAACTAATTCAATCCCTGAGTGTATGATGCTGACATCTGGAACAGAGAAGTGATACTTAAGTGATACATAACACTCTGACGAGTTCACCCTGCAACAAATGAGTCAGAACTTAGATGTAGACTGCATGAACATAAATAGCTTAAAAGTGTTTCTTTTTTTCTTAAGAAACAGACTCTGTGCAATTGCCAAACACATAGTGTGAGTGTTTGTTTAGAACTATATAGTAACCAAAGTAGTTTTTTTTTTTTTCAAATAAAGCCAGATAAATTTCATTCCCTTACTGCAATAATACGATCTGTAGTTCTTGCTTTGTAAGCACTAAACCTCTGGTTTAGAAATAATGTCAACATCTTTTTCAGTTTTTGCACTCATGCTGTAACTAGTTTTGGTGGCCTGTATGATGATGTCAAACACATTGCAGAGCTGGTTCATTTTCACATATTTAACGACTCTCAGTCTCAAAAGTATGCTGCTGATCTTAATTTAATTCAATTCAATTTGCCTCTAGGTGCTTTATGTTCTGAGATAAAGACCCCACAATAATACAGTAAATGAACTGGGTCGCCATGTTCCCTGTAAAAAGATTAACAGATATAGGAATAAAATGAGCAATCCACTGCAGATAAAGCTCAGCAGGAAAGCTGGAAAAGTCTGTCATCAGAGTGTTTCATGTGCTTTGATTAGGCTCCGTTGTGGACATATACACGGACAACTGGAAACCCAACAGCTGATTAGTCCTTTTACAAAGACTGGATTTTAGAAAATAATATATAGATATCAAGTATGTAATAAAACCCATACCTTCACTGTTAAGAAGTTATATTGCAGCATCTTGGACTCAATTGTTTGCGTTTGACTGTTTTAATTTTTGAATGCTCCAAATACCACTATTGGCATTCACACTCCATAGCACTAGGTGGCGATAATGCTACTTGCCAGAAACAAAAGTGCATCCGCTTCTGTTGCTAAAATTATGCTGCACATAAAAAATGTTCAGAGCATGACAGGTCTTACAAGTTTAACCTTCTTCTGTTACACTGTTTGTCTGTTAAGCTTTAACTGGAAGTTAGCATTAACAGCCATTTAAGAAATCTAACGATAACCTAAGCTAGTTAGCTGTTTACTCGTATAAGTTCTGATAGCAGCTAAGATAACTGAACGGTCATCTAACCGGGCTAATAGCGAGAGTAAACGGTAAGTGGTGTGTTTGTCTCCCATCTGATTTGGGCGTTAAATAGAATTATTTAACGCCCAAATCAGCGCTTTTATCAATGAAA